GAAGGACAAGGAGCTTAGGGATGCCGACGCTCGAGCAATGGCTTGAGCGGAGGATCTTTCGTCATTTCGTTACGCGAAGGCTGTAATTCTTGTAATTCCCGGCGGACGGATTTGTTCCATCGTTTCGATATTAGCCCGATTCTGTCTCGACCCTGCCTTCGTCGCAAGGGGCGCGCGCAGCGTCGGCGAAGGCAGGATCTCGGCAATTGGGCTTCGTCACGCGATGCGAGTCCCAGGTGGAGGCGGAGGAGGAGGAGGAGGAGGAGGATGAGGAGGAGGAGGAGGAACAGGAACAGGAACAGGAACAGGAGGAGGAGGAGGGGAGGAGGAGGAGGAGGAGGAGGAGGAGGAGGAGGAGGAGAGGGGGGGAGAGAGGAGGAGGAGGAGCCCTCGCACCGCGCGGCGAACAAAATCACGCTACCTATATGCAGGCGCCGCGTGCACGGAGCCTGGCACCGCCGTCACCACCACGCACTGGTCGTACGTGGGCGACGGCCGGGGCGCCTACGAGAAGGCGCGCCAGCCCCGGACCTCTCCGCCCGGGCGCGTGCGGCCTCCCGCGGGAGGCGCGGAGGGGGGCCTCCCGGGCGCGGCGGCCTCTCGGGGGCCTTCCAGCGACGGCGGGGAGGCGCACGAGTACGTCGGGCCTGTCCCTCTACATGACGAACGAACAACACGCACCCATACCCATAGGGAGGACGGAGGGGGCTATGGGTGCGTGTTGTCGGATGGGGCTCCCCGCTCGAACGGGAGACTCCCCCGTGGTCCGACAACCCGCACCCATACCCATAGCAAGTCCTCCTCCAGCCGACCCCCCTGACCCCCCTATGGGTATGGGTGTGTGTTGTCCGCTCGTCATCTACAGGGGGGATATTCCAAAATAGTACAACAGTAGTTTGGGGGCGATGGTTTTTGATCGTTGTGTGGCCATTTTGGGGCATGTTTTAGCAATTTTTTATCTGTCGTCCAAGATCCCCTTGTAGGAGGACAGGGCCGACTTAAGCGTAGGATCAAGTCGGGCCTGAGGAATCCGATGGGTTTCGTGAAGATTCCGATGGATCTTCCCAGGAATCCGATGGGTTCCCTCAGGAATGCAATGGGTTCCCGAGTGAACCCGATGGATTTCGCAAGGAATCCCAGGGAGCTCCTAAGGCATCCTGTGAATTTCCTAAGGGAACTATGGATTTCCGAAGGAACCCGATGGATTTCCAAAGGAACCCCATGGATTCCCGAAGGAATTGTATGATGTGCCTCTACAGGATATTCAAGAATGGGGAAAACATAGCCTGGGCACGATGTTTCGTGCTCTTGGGTCTCTGCTTGGCTATTTTCTGAGTTCTATTTTTCTGCTACATGCCCGACCAAAGCCTGCGAGAAGGCGCCGCCAGTGGCTCGCGCGGACCTCCTGGGCGCGGCGGCCTCACGGGGTCCCATGGGGGCAGCGCTAGAGCTATGATGTTCCAACCTACTTTAGCCTTGACCACCAGCAAGAATTTCGAGCGCCAGAAGAGAACCCCAAAAACTCGAGGGTTTCCACGTGCAGGGCCCTGGGAGACACTGTTTCGACACTATCTCGACACTCTTTCGACGCTTTTCTGGGTGCTCGAAATTATTTCTGGGATGTGGTCCTCAAGTGGGATGGGAACAACACAACGTTAGAGGGTGTTTTCGTTGTCGCTTCCCTCCGAGTGCCCCGCGCGCTCGTCCCCTCCCGAGTGCTACCCCCGCGCCTTTCCACCGCTCGCCTAGGGCGCCGATGGCCGGACGCCCTGCTCCGTGGCGGCGGTGGGGCCCACGCGCCGTGCCGGGGGCTGGCGCACGGCTCCTGTACTGCACTGTGCTGCACTGTGCTCAGGGCCATCACGCGCGCGAGCCCCCCCCGAGATGGGCACGGAAAGAATGGGTACGATGCCTAACAGCAGTTCTTGTTCATTCTGAACAGGATTCGCTGTCCACGCCGCCGCGGCCTGTGTCCATTCGAGACAGAAGGCCGCCTGCCCAACAGCGGCCGCTGTTGGTTTGGGACAACATGTGCTGTTGGGCATTGTACCCATTCTTTCGGTACCCATTTCGGGTGTCCAAAGATACAGTATCGCGACCGGCTGTTACTGTGGCCCGTTGGGTGGTAGTATGGCCCGGTGGGTGTTAGTGTGGCCCGTCGCGCGGCCGGATGGGAGTTACTGTGGCCCGCGCAGGCCGCTCAATGAAAAGTAATGTGTAAAGTTATCTCATGTTAGATCTGGAAGGATTCGCAACCCTTAAGTGAAGAGATTCGCACGCCCCCCCATACAGTATCAGGGGAACAAAAAGGTGACATAAACACAAAAACTCGGAGGACCGCGTGGATTTCTCGGATCCGCGCTGGACCCCCATGGCGGCGCCTCCGGCGCCGCCCCTGGCGCCGGAGGCGCGCCAGGGAGGGGGGTCCAGCGCCGATCCGAGAAATCCGCCCGGACCTCCGAGGTTTTATGTTTATGTCACTTTTTGTTCCCCGAAGTATGGTGGGAGCGTTCGTTAAGGACTGTCCAGGAGGCTGCAGACCAGGGCGGCGGCGATATTATATTCAGGGCCGATCCACGATTGGAGCTCCACTGGCTTCCAGACCCTCAGTTCCTTACCCAACGGTTCCTTGTCCAATGACCTCGCCGTAACGTAGCGCTTCCCCGCCCCCTCCAGTGCGCCCCCGGCACTGCCGCAGTGCAACCGGCACCACAGTCTGTCACGGTGGGGGACGGGAGCGTTAGGTTATCCCCCCCGCCGCCCACGCCCAATAATGCTCTTCATCGCCGCGAAGAAAACACGCTCGTCTAGGGACCCAGATCTCCGACGATGTGATTATGTTCTATTCTGGAGTTTCTGTTTCTCGATTTCGGCTTCATGGAGCTCTTGGGCCCCAGAAAGGTCCAACATGGACCCCGGGGCGAACGACCTATCCCCAGGGAGGCGGTCGGGACCTTCCTGGGGGCTATACCGCTGTCCGTCCGTCGTTTTCGCCGTTTTCGGCCTCCTGGGGGCGCCTGCCTTTGGCCTCCTGACAGCTCCTCGTCGCCATGGAGCCGCCTCGAAGTGCGGGCCAGAGCGCACCTGGGGAGAGTTCCAGGGAGTAGCGGCATTTCCCAACCATCCTGCAGTATCGGGTCCTCGCTTTGAGGGGACACCGCCCCGCATGGCTCATCTCCTCACTTCCCCCTCCTCCCTCCTCCCGTCCTGCCATCTTTACGTCGGGCCTGTCCCCCATACAGGGGGATTTAAGACGAAAAATAAAGAATACCCAACAAATAGTCAAAACATATTCCAAAAATAGTATGGAGACTATTTTTAGGGTATGTTTTGACCTTTCTGCCGTATTTTGATGGTATTGTTTGTTTTTCGTCGAAAGTCCCCCTGTAGCCGCACGCCTAGTTCAGCACGTGTCGTGGCCCTCTATAGGGAGCTGTGCCGCAGGCCCCGGTGGCACAGTCCGCATGGCGGCACCGCACCCACTGCGTCACAACCCTCACGCGTTCCGTCGCTCCCTGGGGAGCTGCGCCGAAGGCCCCAGTGGCCACGTCGGCATGGCGGCACCGCTCCCAAGTCGGCACGCCCCTCGCGCGTGCTTCGTGGCCTCGTCGGGAGCTGCGCCGAGGGCCCCAGTCTGTGGCACGGTCCGCGTGGCGGCACCGCACCCATTGCGACACACCCCTCACACGTTCCCAGATATCCAACGCATTGAACAAAAACAAGACGGAGGTTTTCCGCAGTTTTCGGCCTCCAGGGGCCCTCGCCGGGCCCCGGGACCTTCAGAAACTGGTCCTGGGGAACGGGGACTCCATATTGAAAAAAACACGACGTCGGATCTCTGGGCTCCGCGGCTCCACAGGGAGCTGCGCCGAAGGCCCCAGTGGCAAAGTCCGCATGGCGGCACCGCCCCATCGGGCACACCCCGCACGCATTTCGCGCCCCATTCGGAATTCCACCCAAGGCTCCAGTGGCAGTGTCCGCATAGCGACACCGCCCTGTTTCGGCGAACCCCTCGAGCGCTTCGTGGCCTCGTTGGGAGCTTCACCGAAGGCCCCAGCGGCAAAATCCGCATGTCGGCCACGCCCTATTGCGGCACACCTCTCGCGCGCTTCGTGGCTCCATAGGGAGCTTCACCGAAGCCCCAGCGACAAAGTCCGCACGCCGCCACCTCGCCATTTTGGTACACCCTTCGCACGATTCGTACCCATCCTTCGATCACGTGCCTTTGGACCCTGGCCCGAGGCTCGAAGGTTTCGGGTACGAGGTTCGAGGTTCGAGGTTCGAGGGATAGTTGGGAGCCCCCGAACTAGGTGGTGAGATGTCAAATGGTGACCTGGAATCCCCCAAAAAGTCGCTGCCGAGTTTTGGAACACGGGGACACCGCCAGGCTTTGTGACTCCTGGGCCCACCAGCGTTCGGGACATCCTCGAAAAGCACGCTATTCCCCAAACCGGGTGGTGACACCGAATCGCCCGAGACTCACCGCCGGGCGTTGTCACCACGACGATTGGGGACTACCAAGAGAGGCGGTTCGAAGTCCTAGGTTGTCTGACGCTTCTGTCGCCTTTTCGGTGGCTCCTCTCCGGCCCTTGGGTTAAATCGGGCGTGTCCCCCCCACAGGGGGATGTTCGACGAAATATATACATATATATAACAAAAAGAAACACCCCCAAAAGGTCAAAAATATTGAAAAACATAGTCCGCGTATTATGTTTGCACTATTTGTATTGTTTGTTGTGTTTTTTTTCCGTTGAAAATCCCCCTGTAGGGGGACCGGCCCGACTTAACCCTTGGGGGTGTTCTCCAGCAGCTGCGCCTCGACGAGAGCGTCGCGGGGCTGCCCGAGGCTCGCCCCGAACGGCCTCCGGTGCGCCGAGGCGCGCCCCGAGTGCCGTGGGGCCCTGGGGCAACGTAGTTGGCAAAAATATCTCGACGGAAGTTTTGCATAATTTTGCTCTGTTTAAATTCGAGTTCTCGAAATTTGAAAATTCGTTTCAGCTCTAGTTTGTTTTCTCCTCATATTCGGTCTTATTCCCGCTCGCCATCTGAATATCAGGTCGATCGGGTACATACTACTGCAAAAAAGCATCCGGGAGAAGCGCGGCCCGCACTCCTGGCCCGCTCGGGGCCCACGGGGTGAAGTCGGGCCTGTCCCTCTACAGGGGAAAGATTCAAGAATAGGATTCCTCATCTGTGGTGTCATCTCGCTCTGGGAACGAAAAAAATGCAAGAATGGTAAGAAAATAGTCGGGGAACTATTTTCTAAGCATTTTTTGACAGTCCTCGAGGATGTTTTGGATCTTTTTGATTTCTCCTGGAAAATCGGCCTGCAGGGGGACGGGCCCGACGTAACCCTGGGGCCCTCGCGGATCGGGCAGGGCTCTCGGTGGGGCCCCCGCGCGAGGATATCGTGCCGACGCCTCGGGAGGTCAGCTTCCCAGACGTGCTCGCGCCGCAGAGGAAGTGTTCAGGGCGGAGGCTTCTCCTTGGCATCGCTCGGACGTGTGCAGTTTTCCTTCGGCGAGGGCCATCGAGGAGCGTCCTTGATCATCTGGCGAAAAAACCACGCACGACACCGAAAAAAAACGCACAGGGAACGGACGTCCGAGCGATGGCCAGTTCCGCCGTTCTCGGGCTCACGGAGGCCCTCGCCGGGCCTCGGGGCCGTCAAAAAACGGCTCGGGGTGAAAAACCGGGCCCGGGGAAAGGGTACTCGGGACTTCTGGGGACGCCGCCCTGAAGCAATCAGGAAGTCGGACATGTCTAGATTCTGATTCTGCCCTGGTCCGAAGTGCGATGTTCCATCCGGCTTGATCCCGCTTTCTCCCGCTCGCTCCGGCTTCATCCTGCTGGATCCAGTTTTATCCCGCGTGCTCCGCGGCCGAATCCTGCGCAGGAGCGCCCTCCCAATGGGGCTTCATTCTCCTTCATCCTTCCGACGAAGACCTCCCAGTAACGAGTTGCCTCCTAACGGCGTGCCCCAATCCTTAGAGCCCGTTGAGCTGAGCACATTTGTGATCGCGTGCCGCGAGGGCGCGCGAAGGATTCAGCACCGAGGCGGCGGGGTACGTCAATCCCGTCTTCCTGCGTCAATCGTGCACGGGCCGTGCACGCACAGTCGTCCGACACAACAATATACACACTGACACCCACGGCGGGTCGCCCATGTCTAGGCTTCCTAGGGTGGGTCCGAGTAGATGGTGTCGGAGGATTGCGCCGCATCGCCGATGCACTGACAATGCGGCTCGATGTGGAACCCGTGTTTCCCCACGCCGACGTCGCCGATGCATTGGCGATGCATTGGCGATGCGGCGCGATCCTTCGACCCAGTTACTCGGACCCGATCTAGGAGGCCTCTACCATGGGTCTCCGGGGAGGGTGGTGGTGCATAGATTGCCGCTGGGAACCAACAGCAGTGCGCAGTGTACACCACAACGCCAATTATGCGAAAACCTTCCCTCTTCGCGTTCGCTCAGCTTGTCCGCCAGCCGCTTCCAGTAACCCCTTATCGGCCCAGCGTTCCTGGAAGATTGGGCTTGAGAGTCAGGCATCCGACGCCATGATTTCTGCAACACGTCGTCTACGCAGCTTACGACCCTGCTCCTTTTGCCACATTGTAGTCCTGATATGTTTTGAACGGTATTCGGCACTGGGGAACGAAAGCAGCCCCCAGACGGCGAACATTAGAACGTACCAGCCTTTATTGTGTTCCAAGACGTTGGAGGTCTCGCGAGCTTGCCTCAAGCTGGGTTGGCGGAGGAGTTACCACTTGGGGATTGGAAGATGTTTTCCGCCCGCGGACACAGCAGAGGTCTTCATCTTGATTCGAACGGAGACTGTATTTGCTTGTTCCCACTGGTGAGTGTTTCGCTGTGCAGGCTGCTCCGACGTCGTGACTTGTGCATCCGTGGGCCCCCGAGCTCCTGGGCACCGGATCTCCGCCGCCACGCGATGTTCTCCGTGCGGTCTGGCTCTGCTTCGCCCGTGGGGCCGAGGACGGCCCCCCGAGGTCGGGGGCGGAAAAGAGGGGGGTGATGACTAGGGGGGGGGGGGGATGTCATGGCGGGGGCCATGATTTTTCCCCAGATGTCATGGCGCCTCTGCTTGTTTCACTACGTCCCTGGCCCCCCCCGCTGGGCCGCGCACGTGCCGCCCGTCATGATCTGCACCCCCCCCTCTTGGACACCCCCCTCGTGGCCGCTCCCGAAGAGGACGAGAGCAGCGACAGGTCGCTCCGAGGCGTGAGCGGTGTTGGCCTTCTGGAGGCCCGTGGAGGCCCCCCGAGCGGACGCCGCCCGTGCCGGCGGTGCCCGGCCTCCTGGCAGGTGCAGACCTACAACTTCGTGGGCGAGGGCGAGGGCGCCTTCGAGAAGGACCAGGCCGTCGAGGACTGGGAGGGTTCCTCCTCCTCCTCCTCCTGCTCCTCCTGCTCCTCCTCCTCCTCCTCCTCCTCCTCCTCCTCCTCCTCATCCTCCTCCTCCTCCTCTCAGTCCTCCCCCTCCATTGCTGATTGTCGGGGATCGGCGTCGAGCGAGGGGGGGACGTGAGAAGGAGAAGGCCTTCTCAGGAGGCGGCGGGGCTTCTCACAGCGCCTCGGGCCTTCAGAGAGGTGTTTTTTGTGTGTCTTTGGGGAAAGCTCAGAGCACTTGTCAGAATCACCGAGCGCGTTCCACTTTGATCGCGAAGTGCCTACTCGCAAAAACCAAAAGAATACATCTATTTTCCTATATGTGTACACTATCGTACATCTCCCGCGGCGGAACCGGGCCAGTTGCGAGTAGTCAATTTGCGAATGGAGGAACGCGCCCGTCCACAGAGGGTTGGGGGGATTGCCAGGCCTCCTTAGAAGTCCCGCCCCTTCTCGCGCCCCCCCCTCGCTCGCCGCGGACGGGAGAGACGGCGGAGAGGCCCAGACCCTTCCGTGTCGTGGCATACTCACCGCGGGAGGTGCTCGGCTGCACTCCGGTCGTTGGAAGATGGTAGTGTTGGATCCCCAGGCTCCTACCTATATATGTCGAGGGCCTCTTTATTTCAAAACTCGAAGCGTGCTTGTTGTTTGTTGTTGTCTGCTCTGCGCGGAACTCTTCCGCGTCTGAGCGCTTTCCCATCCCCCTCCCCCCGCGCGGCCGCCCTCGACTTCTTCCTTCCTCTTGCACGCCGGACAATCAGCCGTTCGGTTGCCCCCAAAAGCCACACGCTGGAGCGGACTGGCTCTGCCTTGCCGTCTTCGGACAAGACATATGTTCTGTTGTTGTCTCTTGGTTTCTGTTGGTCATCATGTGGTCACCTGGAGGCCCCATCCCACATTTGCTTGTGGAGGAGTTTGACCTCCTGGGGGGGTCATGCGAGGGCTCCGCGAGCACTTGGAGCCCTCTTGGTGCGGTCTTTGGTGCCTCTTGGAACATGTCGGAAGTTTTCTTGAACCATCTTTGGCTCTCGGGAGCCCTCTTGGAGGCCATCTTGGAGTGTAGGATGCCCTCTTGGAGCTCTGTTGTGTAATCTTGAGCGCCCTGGCCGCTCGCGGCACCCCAAACAAAAAATTTGGGAGGGGAGGGGGATGGCATCCCTCCCCGAAGGGAAAAGGGGTTCTGGAAGGGCCAAGAGCGAACTCGGCAGACCTCCTGCGCTCAAATGGCTGGCGGGATTTAAGGTTCCCTTCGACCTTGCATCAAGGTTCTCGTCCAGAATCCCCCCCGCATGACTGGAAGGACCCCCCCGAAAAGATCTGTCCCCCAGTGGGAAACAGACAGCATGAACGCAGCATGGAGACCAACAGGACGTGCCCTGCTTGCATCCCCTTCGAGGAGGAGGAGGAGGAGGAGGAGGGAGGAAGGGAGGAGGGAGGAGGAGGAGGAGGAGGAGGAGGAGGAGGAGGAGGAGGAGGAGGAGGAGGAGGAGGAGGAGGAGGAGGAGGAGCGAAGACGATAAGGATGTTGCCCCTGCTCCGCCCCTTCGCTGCCCCTGCTCCGACGAGCTTCCGGGCCTTCGCTCGGGCCTCTGGCGGCCGCTCGGGACGCTCCCGGGCAGCCCCGGAGCGCTCCCGGCGAGGCGCAGCCGCCAGGAGGCACCCCAAGGCTGGCAGGCCGCCGAGAGCTCCGGAAAACACGCCCGAAGTCCTCGAGCCTCGAGCCGATCCCCCCCACAGCCCTGGGGGTTCGGCTCGCGGTGCGAGGACTTCGGGAGAGGGAGAGAGAGCTCTCGAACGGGACGAGTTTGGCAAAGCGAAGCACGCCCGAGTCTGGAGAGACATTTTTTCGGTTGCCAGAGCACACGATCCACGTCTGCCACCAGTGCGGTTTCAGTGGACTCCAGCTCACAGGAAGCTGGAGGACATCATCGAGTCGGCCACTCCAGACGAGCTGGAGGCCTTCGTCGGCAATGCCTGGGCCGACTTCTTCGCGAAGTGCGGCAGTGCTGCACACATGGTGTCTAAAACAGTGGCTGATAGTTTGGCCGCTGCGCTGAAGCAGCACAAGCAGGTCTTGCATTATGTGTCTTGGGCGGCCTTCCAGGTGGTTCAGTTTCGGAAGTGGGGAACGGATCCTATCGTGGAGCGGGACCCAGAGCTTGCCCAGGTGCCCAAGCGTGTGGTCTTCGAGAGGCCCCAGGACCACGAGCTGCTTTTCTGCCAGAGGTTGTCTGAGTATCGGTGTCGTCGGTGCAATCGAGTCGCTCGAAGTGCGAGTACCCTCCATACTCTTCGCTCGGGAGCTGGTCGTGTGTGTGCTCCCTCGCCTCTGGTCCAGAGCCTGGCCGATGACTTCTTCCTGCGGAGTTCTGAGGCGTGGCTTAGCATTTCGGACTCTAGGGTCACGGCTGCCATCGAGGCGGCCGATAGGATTTTGGGGTCCACGTCTGGGCCTCTGGAGGCCTCCTCGGGGCTTGGCGCGGTCCCTCCTCAGCCGCTGGAGCAGGTGCATGCTGCCAGTGGCTCGGCCGACGCTCCCCAACCAGTGCTTGCCGAATTCGCTGAATTGGGGCATGACGCTTTCTGTGTTAAGTCCGTTTATTGCTGCCGCAAGTGCGGGGGCAATTTCAACGGGTCCGAGTCCTTTAGGTCCGCCCGCAAACTGCGGGCGTTGCGCCAAGGGTTTTCGGAGAATCCAAAGACACGGGCTAACCAGCACACGGCGATCGACAGAATCACCCGTGGCTTGGAGCCCCGCCAGCGAGGGGCAGGTGCGGCGCGTTCTGGCCCGAACCCTGCCCCCTAGTGTTGCTCTTTGGACCCTGGGAGGATTTAGGGTGTGGTTTCCCTGAGGCGCCCCACCCTCTCCCAGGCTTTCGCCCTTTCCGCCACCCCTGTGGCTCTCAGGTCTCACACGCGGTTGGTGTTCGTCACTCGGACGCCTCTCCTGCGGCTCGCTCGCTCCTCCTCCTCCTCCTCCTCCTCCTCCTCCACTTCCTCCTCCCTCGCTCCGAGGGCGGGGCCCGCAGCGCCAGCGGGTGCCGTGCGCGGCCCCGCGGGCCCCGGCGCGCTCCGCGGGGGACCAGGTCTAGGTCGGGCCTGTCCCCCTACGGGGGGATCTCGGACGAAAAATAAAAAGTCCCCCGAACATGCTCCAAAAATGTTCAAACATGGTCCAAAAATCATCCCCTGATTAGTTTTTGACTATTGTTGAAATTTCCCCCCGTAGAAGGACAGGGCCGACTGAAGGCCAGGTCTCCGCACCGCAGCCGCTCGGGGAGGGCCCCCGGGAGGGCCCCGTGCAGCAGCACCTGGGGGGGCTGAGGCCCAGGAAGAAAGCGCCGGGTGCGGTAGCAAGTCGTGGGAGCCTGGGGATAGTTTTCAGGGTCGGCGATAACCCGGGTTATCGGGCTTGCCCCCCCTCCCCCCCCCAGGATAACCTGACCCTGCCGGTTGTGCAGGTCCGCGGGAGGGCGGCGCGGGCATATGCAGGGCTGCCCACAGCGCGAGGGTTAGGATATCGGCCGCCCCCCTCCTCCCCCTCCCCGGGATAACCCGGGTTATCGCCGATTTAAACAAAACTGTTTCCTGGCATGCCCTCTTGATTCCGTCTTCGGCGTCGATGAGCGCCGAGTAGCGTCTGGGAGTCGGTGAGATGGCGCCGATTGAGCATCGGTTAGAGTCGATGGGCTCCTATGTAGCGTCGATTTAGCGTCGACTAGCGTCGATTAGCGTCGATTTAGAGTCGATTAGAGTCGATTCGCACGAGCAAACCAGATGGTATGGGAGGCTCCCATGAGTTGCCACCGAACGGGGGCTGAGGTCGAGGAGATCTTAGCGCCAGGATCGCAAGAGTCAAATTCGAGAGGAGAAACGCAGGGACCATAACCAAGATGTCGCGGGATCGTGTCGATGCCGGTCTTGGTCATGGTCCATGTCGGCGGAGTCGGTTCGCGAGGGTAATCCACGCATTGGCGCTGACCAAGATCGACGGTGACCAAGATCGACGCGACGTTTCCTCGCTCAGTCTCGGTCATGGTCCCTTGTCGTTCCACTCCACATATCGTTAAGTCGGGCCTGTCCCTCTACAGGCGGGAATGTTCAAAAATAGCCAAACAATAGTCTGGGGACTACTTTTTGAGTATGTTTGGGCATCTTCGGAGCATTTTTGTATATTTTCTATGTTTCGTCCAAGATCCCCAGGAGGGGAAAACACACACACAGACACAATTAATCGTCGATTCCCAAGGAAATAGGAAAATATGGGAAGTGGGGGGGAAGACAAACACCCAGAACATATTTGAAACTATTGGGAATCCTGTGATGTGTGTGTATTTGTTTTTTTGTGTGTGTGTGTGTATGTGTGTGTGTGTGTGTGTGTGTGTGTGTGTGTGTGTGTGTGTGTGTGTGTGTGTGTGTGTGTGTGTGTGTGTGTGTGTGTGTGTGTGTGTGTGTGTGTGTGTGTGTGTGTGTGTGTGTGTGTGTGTGTGTGTGTGTGTGTGTGTGTGTGTGTGTGTGTGTGCGTGCGTGCGTGCGTGCGTGTGTGTGTGTGTGTGTGTGTGTGTGTGAGGGCCCCTTCAAATCCCCCCCTGTAGGGGGACACCGCCGACCTAAACATGTTGTCGGATCTCTGGGCTGGGCGCCCCCCTCGGCATCGAGCTCGGACGTGTCTGTGTGTTTTGTTGTTTTGTCCTACCGTCGAGAGGCACCCTGTAGCAGGAAGTCGGGCCTGCCCCTATACAGGGGGAATATCAAAAAATGGTCAAGCAAATCGTCTGGGGACTATTTCTTGCGTATGTGTTGACCGTTGCGGGGCATTTGTTTTGATTATTTGTTTTGTTTTCCTCTCACCCCCCCCCGTGGGAGGACACGCCCGGCTTCACTGCAGCACCGTTGTGGGGCATGTTTTGACTATTGTTTTGACCTTTGTGGGGCATGGTTTGACTATTGTTTTGTTTTCCTCCAAAAATCCCCCTGTGGGAGGACACGCCCGACTTCACTGTTAGCACCGAGCAGCAAGAGCACGCCCGAGGCCGCAGCGGGCACCGGGGAGCGGACGCCCGAGCGAGGGCGGGCCCCTCTCCCCTCGGCTGCCCCCGGCGCGCCCTCCTTCCCCCCGGCGGCGAGCGAGGGGGGGAAGTGAGAGATTCTTGCGAGGGGTTCTTGCGGCCGAGCCCGCACTGTACCTACGTGTTCAGTCGACGTGTTGAGCCACGAGTGAGCACGCTACGTTTTGCGTGTCGCGTATCGGGGCAGCTAAGCTCAGAAGGCGGTGGGGCTCCTCAGGGGCTCCCTGGCCTGGTGAGAGGTGGTGGGTGCCTTCGGGGCAGGCTTGGAAACAACTGGTCAGAAGACCAGGGGACTTCCGAGCCTTGGCCCGCCTCTTTCCCTGCTCCCCACCGGGCCCGCCGCCGAGCCCTGCGCACGATGCTGATCTGTCCCCATCTCGTCTCCGCGGCCACGGCGAGAGGCTTGGAGGGCTTCTATCGGCAGCGCGCCCGGGGGTGAAGGGAGAAGGGGCGGGCCTTCTCAGAAGGCTCGGAAGTCCCCCAGCCTTCTGACAAGTTTCCTGAGCCTTCCCCCACGACAGAAAACAAACTTCTCAGAAGGCGCAATGGCTTCTGAGAAGTCTGGCCGCCTTCTGAGAAAGCCTTCTCCTTCTCATTCCCCCCCCCTCGCTAGCCGCCGATCCCCAGGATCGGCATCGCCCAGCCATGCAGCGGGAACCCGTGCCGAGAAACACCCTGCTTGCTTCCAGGGTGCCCTGAGTTTCTTGTGTGTTTCGGTGATGTTGTTATGGACATCGTGACGTTCTTACCAAATGTCAACGGACGTTCTAGGGTCCCAGGGTTGGATTTCTGGTGGGAGGTTTCTTGTGGTCGGGCCCCTACTGCACAGCCGGTCCCTATTCCAGCCTTGCGTTTCCACACCCATGCGGCCGCGCGAAGCAAGAGGTTGTTTTGAGGGCGGGGGGCCGTCGTCACAAATACCCATGGGCATCTGGACGCAGGGCCCCTGCACGTCATGTGCTTCTGGAGTTACCACGCGGCTAGAACACTCGCGTCGGAAACTCCAAGCGTGATTTGTCAAGCTGAATCAGGCAACGGCTGCAGTATGTCCTCCTGCGCCGCACAGGAGTTCGGATGCAACTCCTGGGAGGTCAAGTTCTGACCTTGCCCTGGTCCGAAATTTCGTTTACTCCGGCCCAATCCCGCCTAGTCCGGCTTGCCCTGGCTTCATCCCTCCTGATCCGCGGCCTGGTCTGGCGTAGAAGCCCCCCGTTGGGGGTCACTCCTCCTGAATCCTTCCAGCGAATATCTCCCAGCAGTTGCCTCCTAACAGGACGCGGGGCAGCGCCACCGCGCGGCCTTGGGCGTTCGACCCCTTGGGTGCGTTTACGAAGCGGCTTCGCTTGTCGGGGTGCTTCTGCTGGGGGTCGATTTTTGTTTGTGTCCTCTGGAATCGAGAACCGGCTGCAGTATGCCCTCTTTCGCCATACAGGAGAGTGCTTGTTTACCCTCTGGGCCATAACGCGCGTTCTGCCTCCTACCCCCTGACCTTCCGGGAGGGCTAAGAAGATAGTACCAGGACATCAACGTCCAAATTCCTGTCGAGGTCTGAGGCAGTCCAGATAGGGCTAAAGGTCTGGAGTGCTATCTTGTAGCACTCTGGAAGGTCAGGGCCCCCCCCTCCCCCCCCGTAACGCCCGTTACGGCCGCGAGAACACGAAAAGCTCCAGGAGGACGCGGGGCCGCGGCACCCCGCGGCATTGCTGCCTCTATAGATCCCATCTTTCTGCGTCATTCTTCGAGCCCGATCGATCTGTGAGGGCCCCGTTAGGGGAACGAGCAATGACATAAAGATAGAAACTCGGAGGTCCGCGCTGGACCCACCTGGCGGCGCCTCTGGGGTCCAGCGCCGATCCGCGAAATCCGCGCGGACCTCCGAGTGTTTCTGCTCCTGCCACCGTCCGTGCCCCCGCCCCGGGGGGCCCGGAGAAGAGGCGAGCGCGCGAGCGCTCGAGAAGGGGAGGGCGCCAGGAGCTCGGGGACGATCCCTCCTGCCCCCCCCCCCCTTGGCATCGGTCGGACGTGTGCATTTTTCCGTCGGCGAGGACCATCGAGGAGCATCCTTGATCATTTGGCGAAAGAAACACGCACGAAACCAACAAAAACACAGGAAGTGGACGTCCGAGCGATGGCCAGCCCCCAGGAGGACGCGGGGCCGCGGAGCCCCGCGGCCTGCTGCTGCCTGTGCTGCCTGTCGGCCGCCCTCGCCGTCCTGATGGTGGCCCTGGTGGTCGCCTGGCTGCGAGGCGCCGGGCGGCCCGGGCGCTCCGGCGGTCGGGCGTGTTGTCAGCGGGGCGTGCTTGGGAGGAGGGGGAGGAGAGCAGGACGAGCAGGGGGAGGATCGGGATGGGGGGGAGGGCGAGGAGGAGGAGGAGGAGGAGGACGGGGAGGAGGATGATGATGAGGATGATAAGGAGGAGGAGGAGGAGGAGGAGGAGGAGGCAGTGGATTTGACAGAGGAGGAGGAGGAGGAGGAGGAGGAGGAGGAGGAGGAGGAGGAGGAGGGGGAGGGGGAGGAAGAGGAGGAGGCTCGGAGGAGGAGGAGATTGCAGGAGGAGGAGGAGGAGGAGGAGGAGCAGGAGGAGGAGGAGATGGCAGGAGGGATGAGGAGGAGGCGGCGGCCGGGCCTCTTTCCATCGGGGCGCGTAAGAGACGGAGGTCACTGCCATGCGGGGGCCAGTCAGAGCGCCGTATCTGTCGTGATCCTGCAGAGGCCGGGGTTCGATTAGACGTAGGAGTGGCCTTTCGCCCGAGTGAACTCTGGTGCGGGCCCAGCGGGGTCCCCCGATCGCCGAACGCGATGCGATAGTTGCGTCGTGCGCGCTGGTGTTCGGTCCCCCCGCGGCCCCCAAGAAGCTGCGCGCACCAAAGGTCACGCTTACCCAGGGTCACTCTTGCGTGTAGCCGAGGGGTGCACTGGCCCGAGCTTAGGTGCAGGATCCCGCAGGATTCGAAGAAGAAGCAACGCATAAACAGAAATGTTTGGCGCTCCGCGCGGGTTTCTTGGATCGGCTCCTGGGCTCCACCGGCGGCACCAGAGGGGCCAAAGCTACCCACATCCACCAGCGGCCAGTGATTTCTGGATGTGGCCGCGCTCGGTGCAGTGGAGGCCCCCGAAGCTGGATCCCAGAGTCGGTGGTTATGGATAAGTCCGATCCTGCGACGAAGGCATCTATACACCACCACCGTGCCAGGCCAGGGCCATCCTGGGCCCCAGGATGGTGTATAGACCCTCTTGGCCTCGGCCAGGAGGGCGTATACACCATCCTGGGGCCCAGGATGGCCCTGCCTTGGCACGGTGGTGGTGTATAGATGCCTTCTGCGAATACCCTCGCAGGAGTGGGCTGTCTAGCACGGTGTCCAGGGCCCGATGGGGGTGCGGCCGCAGCGGAGGCGCACGAGGAGTTTCCACAGACTCAGTGGCGATGCCTCGGGAGCGCAGTGCCCTCGGAGGGGCGCGGGGCCCCACGTCCGGCGGGTCGGGCACCGGGGAGCGAGGGGCTCCATCGGCGACTGATGTTAAGTCGGGCCTGTCCCCCTACAGGGGGATCTTCGACGAAAAATGAAAAAGGTACCCTAGAAATGATTCAAACAATAGTCCAAGAATAGTATGGGGATGTTTTTGTTTGCATATGTTTTGACATTCTTGGGGTATTTTGGGGTATTTTTAAGTTTTCGTCGAAAATCCCCCTGTAGGGGGGCACGCCCGATATAAACTTACAGGGGGTGTGGGTACGCCGGGGTTCCAGGCATCCTAGACGGGGACCGGAGTGGGTGGGGTCGGAGGGTCACGCCGCATCGCGGATGCATCGGCGATGCTGCTCGAGGTGGAGCCCGAGTTCCTCCGCGCTGGCGTCGCCGATGCACCGCCGACGTCGCCGATGCGTCGGCGGTGCATCGGCGATGCGGCACGATCCTCCGACCCCACCTGCTCGGACCCCATCTGTCAGGAGAGGAAAAAACACAGACACAATGAATCCTCGATTCCTCAGAGAATATGGGAGAATATGGGAAGTGGGGGGGGGAAGACAGAAACCCAGAACATATTGGAAAATATGGGGAATCTTTTTATGTGTGTGTATTTATTTGTGCGTCCTGGGGCCCCTTCATTCTGGGAGGACTCTAGTTGGGGCTCGGGGGGCGCGATGTGGCCCTCGTCGGGTCTGCTCGGGGGCGCGGCGGAGGTCTCCGTCGATCGCTATAGCGCGCGCTCCCGGCAGCCACAAACACAGCAGCGCCCCTCGGAGCAACCTGGCAGGAGCGGTGCAGCCCGCGCCGCTGGCATGGGTTCGTTGTGGAGGCATGTCCCTTGATCTTGGCATCGCTCGGACATGTGCAGTTTTCCTTCGGCAAGGACCATCGAGGAGCATCCTCGATCATTTGGCGAAGAAACACGCACGAAACCGACCAAAAAACACAGGGAATGGACGTCCGAGCGATGGCGAGTGATGGAGAAACCAGAGGGCGTATTTGCCATGGCTGCTCGCGCATGCCCATACGACGGACGCGGTGCTGCCTGAAGGTGTCCCAGTCGTCTGGGGGTGAAGCAAAGCACGCCCGAGCGGCATGGGTGACGAAGCGGCTTTCCCAGAGGACCATGAGCTGGAGCGTGGCAGAATCGCTTGGCCAGTGGACCACTCATGGTTGCGATGGGCCACGGAGTTCGCGAGGGGGCCACCTAGCGTCGCGAGCCCACTGAGTGGCCCACTTCCGTCCGCGGCTCCGTCCGCGCCTCGTTCGCCCCCCCCCCCCACCCCCTCCTGCGGCGGGGGCCTCCTGAGCGCGTGCGAAAAAACAGCGCGGAGGATGGCGACATTTCGCGGGGGACTTCGTGGGGGGGGCTGCCCCAGCCCTGATGGTCCGCTACCGAAAATTTCCGGTAGCGCTCCGCAGAGATCGGTCGCTACCGAAATACCGAAATGTAGCGCCCAATACCGGTATCAGAGCGTTCTGAAATCCGTTATTCCAGCGCCCTCAAACGAAGATCCGGTCGCTACCGAAATTCGGGGTGCGTCGAAATCGCTACCGAAAATTTCCGGTACCAGACCATCTGGGAGTGGGAGGAGGAGGAGGAGGAGGAGGAGGAGGAGGAGGAGCGGGAGGAGGAGGAGGAGGAGGAGGAGGAGGAGGAGGAGGAGGAGGAGGATTGCGACACTTCGTGGGCAGACGGGTCGGCACTCGCACGGGGGCTCCCTCGCAGGCTGGCCGCCCCCGGGGGGAGGGGGGCGGGGAGGCGGGGGAGGCGGGGCAGGGAAGGGGGAGCGGGGGCAAGACGACGAGGCCGACCACGCGGAACATGACAAGGAGGAGGAGGAGGAGGAGGAGGACGAGGAGGAGGAGGAGGAGGAGGAGGGGGAGGAGGAGGAGGAGGAGGAGGAGGAGGAGGAGGAGGAGGAGGAGGAGAAGGAGGAGGAGGACGAGGACGAGGACGAGGGGGAGGAGGGAGGAGGGAGGACGAGGCGAAGGACGACGGCGAGCAGTTGCACGAGGAGGGACCCCGAGAAGGAAGATGGCGCCAGAGCAGCGCGGGCTGGGAGCTCTCCGGCGCGTGGCCCAAGGCGCAGCCGTCGCGCGCCGCGGCCTCCGTCCCGCGGGCCTCCAGCTGCTTTGGTTGAATCTTCAGGGCTTCGCTTTGTGGGCGCCTTCTCTCTTGCGCGGGGGCGCTGGCGGGGATGTCCAGGTCCTCGCCCTCCCCCCAGGGGGGCGGGTTTGCAAGCCACACCTCTTGTGCAAGCCACACCCTTCGGAGTCGCCGAGCGTGGATCTCTGGGCCTCCAGGATGGGGCTCGAGCAGGTGGGGTCGGAGGATGGCGCCGCATCGACGATGCGATGCATCGTCGATGCGGCTCCACGTGGAGCGTGGAGCCCGCTTTCTCCATGCCGACGTCGCCGTTCGATTGCCGACGTCGCCGACGCAATGCGTCGCCGATGCATCGGTGATGCATCCACGATGCGGGCCGATCCTCCGACCCTGTCTGCTCCGACCCCACTGGGGGAGGCCTCCAGTTCCCGCCCCAAGGCTCACGAGGAATCGTGCTCCTGGCGTGGTTGCGTCATGGAGAAGTGTGGCGCTGGTCGATTCACTGGTGACTCAAAACCCATGGTGGTGCGCTGTCACCACAAGGAGTCAAGACTCACGGTGGTTTTCACTGGTGAGTCAAAACCCACAGTCGAATCGCTGGTGGCTCGCTGGTGGATCAAAAACCGTGGTACCACTGTGGCTCACTGGTGGCTCCAAACCCATGGTGAAGCAAACGCCCATGGTCGAGTCAATGGTGGGTCGCTGGTGGATCAAAACCCATGGCACCATGGTGGTTCACTGGTGGATCCAGACCCATGGTGGATCAAACCCATTGGTCGAATCTCTGGCGACTCGCTGGAACCAAAGCGGAGGTGGCGTGGCCGGCGCTGTCGCGGGAACGCGACGACATCGGCCCAGAGTTGGGATTTGGGGCGCCCTGGGAGGGAGCCCCCATGCCCTCGTGTGCGCGCGGCTCTCGCCTCCTTGCGAGCTGCGCCGACGTCGGGGGAAGCTCTGCCCGCGCGCACGGGTATGCGGCGGCCGTCGCCTGCGTTCTCGATGCTGCTAGTTGGGCGAAGTTGATTGAGTCCGTTGAAGAAGAAGCAACGGCATACACATGAACTTTTGGCGCTCCGCGCGGATTTCGTGGACCCGCGCCGGGCCCCACCAGCAGCGCCTCCGGCGCCTCTCCTGGCGCGTTCCGCGCGCCAGGGAGGGGGGTCCAGCGCAGATCCAAGAAATCCGCGCGGGCCGGAAACTTTTTATTTGTACGTATGCCGTTTGTTCTTACTCGCTGATTCTAGGTTGTGTACGCATGTGCTGAGAGATGCGCGCTGGATCGCTGGATGTGCGAAAGCATCATCTGCGCGAGCATGCCGCTATTGGAGGTGGGGTGTGCCAGCGATCGGTCATTCGAGCTCGGGGCGTGCGCTTTCTTAGGGCTTAGGGCCGTACGAACGTGAGACGTATACAGATACGTACCGTCTGTGCGCATCCATTGTTTGCAAACCCATGGTTTGGCTGACGTGTCATACGCCCACCTCGAGAAAGAACTCTGCCATACACACCGTGCACGCAGTTCGTCGGTGCATCAACGTGTGGCCTTTTCCAGAGTTGCGGAACCGAAGCACCACGACGTCGTAGGGGAGCGTTTTCTTTTTCATTGTTTTGCCGATCGGCGCGGGCCCTCGTACCCTCCTTCCCCCCATGGAATAGATCTTGGCTGTTTGGGGCGCCTGTTTCGAGCAGGTGGGGTCTCCCCTCTAGGACGCACTGTTGCAAGCAGGCGCATTAAGCAGTGGTCCCGAGCCTGATCCACCCCCCCCCGCCCCCCCTTTCCGCCCAACGTCGAAACGCCCAATAAGAAAACCTTCGCTAGGTTCAGAGTCGTTGGTGGAGGGACGCATTGCCCTGAGGTGCAGGGCCGGCCTTCGTCGGCGACTTCGTCGGCTTTGCCCCGCCGGGAGGTGGCACGCCCGCACGGGGGATCCAGGGGGCGGAGAGGGAATAAGAGGAGGACAAGGGAGTCGAGGGCGGAGGCGGAAGGAACAAGGAGGGGAGGGAGGGTGGAGGAGAAGCTGCGGGAGGAGGAGGGCGTCGATGCTCCTCCTGACTCGTCCTCCTCCCGACTCCTCCCCCCTCCTTCCCTCGTCCTCCCCCGCCTCCTGCCTCCTGCGCCATGCGCCTCCCTTCTCCCTCGTCCTTCCTCCTGCCGCGAGGGCGGGCCCGCTCTGGTGACGAGCGGGGGTACACATTGCTCATGTCTAATTCTTCGAACGTTCTTTGACTTCTTGGGGGTCAAGGTCCTCTCATTCCTGATTGTTCTGTCCTGAGCCTCTTCCTGGCCACTGGGAGGCCAGGAACAGTTAGAAACGAGCACGATTAGAAATGAGCACGACGATCAGAAATGGACGACGTGTAGAGGCTCGACCCGCTCGCAGGGAGGGAGGGGGGAAGGAAGAGGATGCGGCCGGGATCTTTTGGACTGCCCGTCGCGGCGCCGGTTCTGGCCCACCACGCTTCGGCGCGACACGCGATCCGCTTCCGGGACCCCTGGCGTCGATGCCCCGAGCCGTGCCAAGCCTCTCCCCCGCGGAGCGGAGCGACACGCTGTCCGCTTACGAGGCATAGCGTGCCGCGGGGGCCGCCGCCGCGACACGCTGAGCAAAAGTTCCTGGGCGTCGTCGTTGGCATCATCAGCGCTTCCCAAGCAAACTCCCCCTATGGGTGAGCCAGCCTGGTGCCTGAGTGCAACTGCCGCGAGGAAGAGGAGTGAGGCCACCTCACGGGCGCTCAGGCCACCGAGGACGATGCTCGTTCCAGGGTGCTCCACCGTGCCAATATCAGGAGGGGGGGGACAAAAAAACACAGACACAATGAACCGTCGATACCCCAGAACATGTGGGGAAATACGGGAAGTGGGGAGGAGACAAACGCATAGAAAACATGGGAATGTATGTGGAATCCTGTGATCTGTGTCTACTTCTGTGCGTGTCGCAGGGCCCCTGCACAACAGGAATCGGGGCTGGCCCCTCGCAGGCACACCAGGCGCAGCACCACGACGGCGCGGAGCAGTCTCTCTCGGCAGCGAGGGCGGGGGGGGCGTGCCGCCACCCTTGCGAACACCGGAGAGGGAAAACTGAAATGCGAGGCCGCAGTTGCCTGAAGTCGGGCCTGTCCCTCTGCAGGAGGAATATTCGAAAATAATTTAAAAGTGGTCAGGGGACGATGTTTTGACCATTTGGGACTGTCTCATGGTATGTGTTGAGTCTGTTTTATGTTTCGTCCACAATCTCCCTGTAGGGGGACAGGCCCGACTTCACAGTTGCCACACCCAGGGGAGAGTGCGAGCACAGCACGCTGCAAGAGCACGAGATGGAGCCACATAGGGTACTAGAAGGGCCGCAGCCGAGACAGGGCCAGGAGGGCCCAAGTCGAGGAGGCAGACAGAAACCGCAGCCAGGCGGTGAACAGCACCAGGAGTAGGACGTATATACTAACGGCGTGCGAAAACGATGCCCGGAACGTTTGCCCGAAGAAGGGGAACTGGATGGCCGAAGGGGTCACCCACATATGAGCGATACCCAAAACATCGGGTTCGATTGTGCCGACGTTGGCGCGTAAGCTGCTCGCGTAAAGTCCCGCGTAAGTACCCTCGCTTCCAGCGTGGCGTGCCGCGCTGGCGGACCGCGCAGGCCCCTGCGTCAGGTCGCTGCGCCATCTCGCGCAAGGCTCGCTTCTGACCGCTCGTGGGTGCCCTGCTCCAGGACCGTGTGAAATTGGGGTGCCCAGTCGCACGGAACAACCTCACGAATCTTCCGGCTGCCCTTTTCGAGCCGCATTTGGGTGGCTCTGGCACGCATGACAGGCCGCTTTTCGCCGCGGAGTGCACGGGAGTCCATGCGAAATCCCGGTCTTGTGTGCAGTGGCGGTGGGAACACGCGTCCCTAGGGATCCCAGAATGAGCGCCGAACAAAAATACAACAACGACAACAACAACAACGACAGCAACAACGACAACAACAACAACAGCGACAACAACAACGGCGGAACAACCTCACGAAGCTCGGGGGCATGCGTCGCCGCGCCGCTTGCTCCGACGGGCGGCCCTGCGTCTTGGGGAGAGGCCGCCGCGAGCGCCGGGGCAGACGCCGCCTCCGGCGCGCGCTGGGAGCGCCGCGGCTCTTGGCCGCGGGGCCGGCCTCGCCTGCCTGGGGCGCGGGGCGAAGGGGTGTTGGCCGTGGCTCTGCCGCGGTGTCGGCGGCGTCCAGCTGTTGGGATGCAGCTCCCGGGAGGTCAGATTCTGATTTTGCGTGGGTCCGAAGTCCGGCTTCATCCGGCTTCATCCCGCTCAATCCGGCTTCGTCCGGCTCCATCCCGCGCAATCCGAGGCGCACTCCGGCGCGACAGCTCCCGAATGGGGCTCTTGGTCCTCCTCAGTCTTTCCGACGAGAGCCTCCCGGCAGTTGCTCCCTAACCTTTGGGACCGTCGAACGCACGCGGCGCGGCGGCGCCTCGAGGGTACTCCAGATTTCGTAATAGAAGGGAGGGGGTCTGGACCCTCCAAGACAAGCCATTTCAGACCCCCCCCGTGGGAGAACCCTGCAAAACACCGTCCCCAGGACCCCCCAGGCCCTCCAAGATAGCCTGGAAGAGACCCCCCCCGAAATGAGACCCCCCTCCCTTTCGTACGAAATCTGGAGCACTCCCGCACGCGCGCGCACTCGTGGAGAGGCAGCGGCCTCCTCGCCGCTCCCGCCGCCGCCGCCGGGGAGCGCCTGCCGCCCTCGGCCCCGCGCCGCGCGCAGAGCGGGGTGTAGGGGGAGGGGGGGGAGGCTTCGTAGAAGTAAGTCGGGCCTGTCCCTCTACAGGGGGAATCTTCGGAAGCAGTCAAAAAAGAGTCCGGGGACGACCTTTGCACCGTTTTTGGATGTGCTGGGGTATTTTCTGACTGTTTTTTTGTTGTTCGCCCAAAATCTCCCTGTAGGGGGGACAGGCCCGACCTAAGGGTAGGGGGAGTGGGGGGCTTCCTGGAAGGAGGCTGCTCCTTAGAAGGCGCGGGCCTTGTGCTCCAGGTGTGAGGCCGGCGCCTTCTGGGCACCGGCCTCCTTGCAAGGAGCTTCCCCCCCTCCCCCTACCCTTAGGTCGGGCCTGTCCTCCTACAGGGGGATTTGGGGCGAAAAAGAAAAAATTGTCAGACAATGCCCCAGCATATTCAAAAAATGGTTAAAAAATCGTGCCCAGCCTATTTTTTCACTATTTCTGAATATTCCTCTTGTAGAGGGACCGCTAGACTTAATTCTAAGAAGCCTCCTTACTCCTCCTTCTGAATATTCCTCCTGATTTTTGCGCGCCGCCGAGTAGCCGCCAGGAGCGCCCGCCTCCCTGCCTCCAGCGAGGCCCGCCGGCGCCCGCTCGGGGCCCTCCCCCGGCGGGGGGAGGGCGCACACCCCGGCGGAGGGAGGCCACTCGGGCCATCTCTCTGCGAGCACTTCGCCCCCCTCACCTTATATGTCGGGAGTGTCCCCCTACAGGGGGATTTTCGAGGAAAAATAAAAAGATACCCCAAAAGTACCCCAAAAATGTTTAAAAAAATACCCCTCGTTCCGCCGCGGGCGGGAGGGGCGCCCCAAGCGCGGAGGGCCCCGTGGATGGTGGGCAGAGCCTCGAGACCTCGCCCTCGCGGCCCTGCGTGCAGCGGCAGTCTGGCGCGCCTCCAGGATCGCCGTGGTTCCCCGCCCTGCCGCGGGCGCCGCCGCGGCGGGGGGGGCCCCTCCTGCCCGTGGACCCCCACCCTTCCGCCGCGGGACGGGGCGGGAGTCCAGGGCGGGAGGGGCGCGCAACCCATTTGTATCATGGGAAGCGAGGAGTTGGCCGAAACTTGCATGGACAATCGAATTGCAGGATCCGTTGTTTGATATGTAAGCTACTTGGGACACGCGCCTGTGGCATGATGCGCACGAGAACCATACAAGAACGAGGGGCGACAACTACAGGCTCGAAGAGGACATGGGGAGTCGGGAACGAAGAGCAGGAGAAAGACGTGCGGGAAACCCACTGTGCTGGGCCCCCCAGCAGGCCTCGAAAATGGCGACAGTTTCACACATCGCAGCCCCCCAGGGATGGCGAGGTCTAATTTGAATCCGCGGTGACTACCCACTGTGCTGGGCCCCCCAGCAGGCCTCGAAAGTGGCGACAGTTTCACAGATCGCAGCCCCCCCAGGGATGGCGAGGTCTAGTTTGAGTCTGCGGTGGGTACCCACTGTGCTGGGCCCCCCAGCAGGCTTCGAAAGTGGCGACAGTTTCACAGATAGCAGCCCCCCAGGGATGGTGAGGTCTAATTTGAGTCCGCGGTGAGTACCCACTGTGCTGGGCCCCCCAGCAGGCTTCGAAAGTGGCGACAGTTTCACAGATCGCAGCCCCCCAGGGATGGCGAGGTCAAATTTGAGTCCGCGGTGTGTGCCCACTGCGCTGGGCCCCCCAACAGGCCTCGAAAGTGGCGACAGTTTCACAGATCGCAGCCCCCAAGGGATGGCGAGGTCTATTTATATCCGCCGTGTGTACCCACTGTGCTGGGCCCCCCCAGCAGGCCTCGAAAGTGGCGACAGTTTCACAGATCGCAGCCCCCCAGGGATGGCGATGTCCAATTTCAATCCGCCGTGTGTACCCAGTGTGCTGAGCCCCCCAGCAGGCCTCGAAAGTAACGATTGTTTCACAGATCGCAGCCCCCCAGGGATGGCGAGGTACAATTGGAGTCCGCGGTGTGTACCCACTGTGCTGGGCCCCTCAGCAGGCCTCGAAAGAGGCGACAGTTTCACAGATCGCAGCCCCCCAGGGATGGCGTGGTACAATTGGAGTCCGCGGTGTGTACCCACTGTGCTGGGCCCCCCAGCAGGCCTCGAAAGTGGCGACAGTTTCACAGATCGCAGCCCCCAAGGGATGGCGAGGTCTAACTTGAATCCGCCGTGTGTGCCCACTGTGCTGGGCCCCCCAGCAGGCTTCGAAAGTGGCGACAGATTCACAGATCGCAGCCCCCATGGGATGGCGATGTCTAAGTTGAGTCCGCGGTGTGTACCCACTGTGCTGGGCCCCCCAGCAGGCCTCGAATGTGGCGACAGTTTCACACATCGCAGCCCCCCAGGGATTGCGAGGTCTAGTTTGAGTCCGCGGTGTGTACCCACTGTGCTGGGCCCCCCAGCAGGCCTCGAAAGAGGCGACAGTTTCACAGATCGCAGCCCCCAAGGGATGGCGAGGTCTAATTTATATCCGCCGTGTGTACCCACTGTGCTGGGCCCCCCCAGCAGGCCTCGAAAGTGGCGACAGTTTCACAGATCGCAGCCCCCCAGGGATGGCGATGTCCAATTTCAATCCGCCGTGTGTACCCAGTGTGCTGGGCCCCCCCAGCAGGCTTCGAAAGTGGCGACAGTTTCACAGATCGCAGCCCCCCAAGGATGGCGAGGTACAATTTCAATACGCCGTGTGTACCCACTGTGCTGGGCCCCCCAGCAGGCCTCGAAAATGGCGACAGTTTCACATATCGCAGCCCCCCAGGGACGGCGAGGTACAATTTCAATCCGCCGTGTGTACCCACTGTGCTGGGCCCCCCAGCAGGCCTCGAAAGTGGCGACAGTTTCACATATCGCAGCCCCCCAGGGACGGCGAGGTACAATTTCAATCCGCCGTGTGTACCCACTGCGTTGGGCCCCCCAGCAGGCCTCGAAAGTGGCGACAGTTTCACAAATCGCAGCCCCCCAGGGATGGCGATGTCTAACTTGAATCCGCCGTGTGTACCCACTGTGCTGGGCCCCCCAACAGGCCTCGAAAGTGACGACAATTTCACAAATCGCAGCCCCCCAGCTGGCACGCAGCGACGAGCGAAGGCAAGGGGGAAGAGAGGGACGGGGGGGGCGGGAAGGAAGGAGACGCGCGAGCAGTGCTCTATTCAAAACGAGAACCCAACGCAGGAGGGTTGGGAAATATATTCAAAAGTCGTCCCCAGACTCTTGTTGTAGCATGTTCGGATCATTTTGGGGGGTATCTCTAATTTTTCAAAGAAAATCCTCCTGTAGGGGGACAGGCCCTACTTAACCCTCCCCTCGACGGCCCCCGAACACCAGCGAAGGGAGCCAAGACCCGGCGGCGAGCGAGGGTTAAGTCGGGCCTGTCACCCTACAGGAGGATTTTCGACGAAAAATATAAAATACCCCAAGAGTAGTCCAAAAATAGTATGGGGACCATTTTTTGATTATTTTTGTTACCTTTTGGGAGCATTTTTGGGGTATTTTTTATTTTTCGTCGAAAATCCCGCTGTAGGGGGACACGCCCGACAGAAAGCAAGGGGGGGGGGAAGGAGCCGGTTTGGGTATGGTCGGGGCGATAACGGCCGTGATCGGCCCTCCCCCCCCTCGACAGGGCGCAAGCTTGACCTTTCGCCGGAGTGGCCTCTGGTGCGGGCCCAGCGGGCCCCCCCGAGCGCCGCACGCGAGGCGACAGCAGCGTCGCGCGCGCTTGCTTGGCATCGCTCGGACGTGTGCATTGTTTCCTTCGGCGAGGGGCATCGAGGAGCATCCTGGATCACCCTGCGAAGCAATCCTCGCACGAAGCCGAACAAAAACACAGGGGGAAGGGACGTCCGAGCGATGGCGAGCTTGTGTTTCGTCCCCACCCGGTCCCCAAGAGGCCGCGCACCAAAGGTCACTCTTGCCCAGGGTCACTCTTGCGTGTGGTCGACCCCCCCCCCACACACCCCGGATCACGTCGCGCTATTTCGCCCGCATGTGCGAAGATTTCTCATGATGGAGTCTTCAGGGGTTTTCGAAGATGCGTGGGGATGCCCGGATCGTCCCGAGCGGCCGCCCGGAGACCCGAGGCATGACCCGAAAACTGAATTCGGGAGAGGTGAGACGGACAAGTCTTAAGTCGGGCCTGTCCCCCTACAGGGGGATTTTCGACGAAAAATAAAAAATACCCCAAACATAGTCCAAACATACTCCAAAAATAGTCTGGGGACTATTTTTTGAGTAAAGTTTTGACCATTTTGGATTATTTTTGGAGTATGTTCCATTTTTCGTCGAAAATCCCTCTGTAGGGGGACAGGCCCGACTTAAGACAAGTCGGAAACTGGAGCATCTACGTTACTAGTGGCGACCGATTTTTCAATCCCAGGACTTTGGGAGGGTCGGGGACGACGTCGGGGAGGTGTGGTGTATACTTGTTTCCACGTCTTCCCCGGGAACACCACCGAAACGTGTATACACCAGTATCCCGTATACATCTAGGCCTCTCAGGTGGGGTCCGAGCAGGTGGGGTCGAAGGATCGCTCCGCATCACCGATGCATCGACGATGCGCCTCGATGTGGAGCCAGAGATTTCCCTCGCCGATGGCGCCGATGCGTCGCAAACACCGCAGATGCATCGCCGATGCAACGCCGACGTATTGGCGATGCATCGGCGATGCGGCGCAATCCTCCGACCCCATCTAACACGGACCCCATCTAGGAGGCCTCTGATATACCAGGATCCTCTTTCTTGTGCGAGTTTCAGTGCGGGGCGGTAAAATCTTCGGTATATAGAGTTCGGCTCCTTTCATCATCTCAAAACGCTTCATGAATAGTGAATGCCCAACCTTCACGAGCGTGCGGCTCGAATCGCCTTGCCAGGTCTTGAGTTGTCATGACAGGCGTTGGAACTCGTTTGACGATTCGAATTTTCTTGAAGTCCAGCGCGCGCAAAAAATAATCAATCTAAAACGTAGCTCGAGCAAAAAACAATTATACCGCGTAGTATGTTTTGGCACCCCGCCCGCATTTCGCGGCCTGCGTGGGATTAGAGAGATTCATGCAACATGAAATGTAGTGAACTGCCCTGATTATGCCAGTTTCATGGGATGCCATGACATGTATTGAATGTGTCTGGCTTGTCTTGAGGTTCCATAACGCTTCCCGATGCCTTTGTTTGTCGTTGCGCGTGGGGGCAATTCGCGCTCTGTTGGTACTCCAGATTTCGTAATAAAAGGGAGGGGGTCTGGACCCTCCAAGACAAGCCATTCCAGACCTCCCCCGTGGGAGAACCCTCCAAAACATCGTCCCCAGACCCCCCAGGCCCTCCAAGATAGCCTGGAAGAGGCCCCCCCCGAAATGAGACCCCCCTCCCTTTAGTACGAAATCTGGAGTAGCTCGGCAGGCATCCTACAGGCCTGTCGGTTTGCCTTCCCAGGGCGCGAGATCGCTCCGCCGTCGCGCAGCGAGCTCAGCGTTTCTCGCGCAGGTACGCCGCGGGCCGTTGCCGGAAGCGGTTTTCGGCACTGCACGCGTCTTCTTCGCCGGAGCCTCTATAGATCCAGATTGCGTGTAAGGAAATCGGGAATCTGAATTGGGCCCCGGGCGTTTTCACGACTGCTGTATATTCTGGACCTGGGGTACTATTCAAGGTAAGGCTTCGAGCGAAGTCGAATTGCTTAGCCTAGACCTTCCCTACCTCCGAGCAGGGGTGTACTCGCCTACCTGTTCCCGCCGATTCGCCATCTCCCCCGCTTGGCTCCCTAGTCCTGCCGACCCGATGCATGTCGATCGCCGATCCGACTTATCGATTCGGTTCGGGGTGTCCTGCAGTCCGGGCAGAATGGGAGGGGGGCAAGGAGGAGCAGAGGGACGGAGAGCTGGGAGGAGGGGGGTGGGGAGCAGGACGAGGAGGAGAAGGACGGGCGAAGGGCACGCGGGGGGTACGGACGAGGACGGACGACGAGGAGGAGATCGAGGCGGACGAGGAGCACGAGGAGGAGCACGAGGAGGAGCATGGAGGAGGAGGAGGAGGAGGGGGTCTGCGCGCGAATCCGGGGCAGCTCGTCGGAGCTCCGGAGCACGAGGAGGTGCTAGCACCTCCTCGTGCCCTGATGCAGCCGGCGCCTGGAGCGTCTCTGTCCCAGGGGCTGCCCCGGCGTCGTCGTCGTCCCTCCACGCGTCTCCCCCCCCTCCAATCGTCTTGCCACCGCCCACCGAGCCACCCCGACCCCACCCGAAGGCCACGACTTGCCCTCGTTTCCAGTGGGGGGGGGGTCGGGAAACATCGAAAAAAAACACACATATGGAGCCCGTACCCCCCCCCAACCCGAAATTCGGGTCTTCGGGTTGGGCTGGGGTGGTCTGGTAGGTAGTCCTCTTGGGGGGCCCCACGGGCGGGCACGGGCGCCGGAGAGCTCCCCCCCTCCTCGCCCCCGCCGGCCTCTTGGCGCGCAGCCCCCCCCCCCCCCCCCTCGCCCCCTGACCTTCCAGAGTGCTTCAAAATAGCACTCCAGACCTATAGATCTATCTGGACTGCCTCAAACCTCGACAGGAATTAGGACGTCGAGGTCCTGGTGCTATTTTTTAGCCCTCCTGGAAGGTCAGGGCCCATGCCCCCCCCCCCCCCCAGGCCTGGGCCTGGGCCGCGCTCGCGCCGGAGCGGACGACGCGCCAGTGTTCCCACCCCGTCCTCTCCTTCCTGCGCTTTGCTGCGTCGCTGGAGCTCGAGAGGGAGAGAGACGGAGGATCAGGAGAATGAGCTGGCGGAGACGAGGAGGAGGGAGGAAAGGATGCGTGCGGAGGAAGAGGGGGAGCGAGGGGGAAGATGCGGAGGAGGTGGAGGAGGAGGAGGAGGAGGAGGAGGAGGAGGAGGAGGAGGAGGAGGAAGGGTACTCTGGATCCCTTATTAATCGTACCGCCCTAGGAAGCCAGACCCCACCTTCCGACGCGAGTTATTTCTCCGGAGCCCTTCTCGCAGTGGGCGCCTTAATATTCTGGACCCCTCGGGCACAAAAGAGCACCCAAAGTGCAAAGACGGTTTGGTATCTACTGGCAGGGAGCTTGACGCAATGAAGGTTCACCCCTGATGTCGGCGACAGTGACGACGTTCGTGGTGCATCTGGCCATGTTTCTGCCGTGCGTGAGCGCCCGAAGCTTGAATAATGTATTTTGCGCGTTCCCTCACTTGCCCTTGAAGCCCGCCTTCAAGTCCGTTTTCTTCGTGCGGAAAGTTGTCTCTTTAGGTGACGGTGATGGCGGTGATGGAACGAAGAACGGGGCATCGATGGCAACGGCCATGACAACGACAAGTGCAGTGATAACGACAGTAGCGGTAGCAGTGAAGGCAACGATGATGGCAATGTTGATGGATTTGGTAGTCATGACGATACCGACGATGACGGTGATTGCGATGGTAAGGATGGTGCTAATGATGATATTGATGACGGTGATGTTGATGATACTCCGCAGGCTGGTGGTAACGAGCACAAGCCTCGAGAATATCGCGTTCGTGCGACGTGAACGCGCATGCGCAAAAGGCACCCTAATAATCCGTACCCCCCTGAACGTCGGCTTCAAAGGAACGCCCTAATAAACCGGACCCACCTGCTGTCCCAAAAGGGGCCTTAAAATACCGGACCTGGGGTACGATTAATGAGAGATCCAGAGTAGGAGGAGGAGGAGGAGGAGGAGGAGGAGGAGGAGGAGGAGGAGGAGGAGAAGGAGGTCACCTCCAAGTTTACCGCTAGCCTGGGGCGGTTAGGAAAATGCCACTGTGGGGCAATACGCATGGCCTTCTCGTTTGGAGTGATGGTATGTTGGCGCCAGGGTTTTGAAACAGCCAGGGATTGCATGATGAGGAAGAGCAAGGAGCGGGCACGGAAAAGACCAGGAGGATGAGAAGGAGGAGGGAACCGGTTCTTTTGAACCGTTGTCCGAGGCCAAGGCAATAGCCTTAGCGAAAACGGTCGGGCTTCAGAGTGGGAGGAGGTCGCGGCCGTCGCGGGCTGACAGACTCGTGGCGCAGGCTACGTGCGAGAAGGAGGAGCGAACTGGGAGGGTGGTGAGGGTGGGTGGGTCAGATGGGACTTGCGGGTGTTCGGGCGCTCGGATCCCGCCTTCACAGCAGCACTGGCGCGTGGGGCATCCCGAGCGCGCTCGCACGGCCCAGGTCGCTGTCCCCACAGAGCCTGGCCACCTTACGCCCTGGGGCATGCCCCACCCTTCTCCTGCTCCTTCTTCTCTGCCCTCCTCCTCCTCCTCCTTCTTCTCCTTCTCCTCCTCCTCCTCCTTCTCCTTCTCCTCCTCCTCTTCCTCCACCTTCTCCTCCTCCTCCTCCTTCTCCTCCTCTTCCTCCTCCTTCTCCTCCTCTTCCTCCTCCTCCTCCTCCTCCTCCTCTTCCTCCTCCCCTCCTTCTGCGCCTCCTCCTCCTCCTCCTGCTCCTCCTCCTACTCCTCCTCCTCCTTCTCCTCCTCCCTCCCTCTCCTCCTCCTCCTCCTCCTCCTCCTCCTCCTCCTCCTCCTCCTCCTCCTCCTAGACTCGACATTGCGGGCAGGTTCGATCCTACCCACCGACAAAACCAAGCGAATTACGCTTCCTCGCCCTCCTCCAGCCGCTCCACAGCGGTGGCGGCGGCGACAGCGGCAGCACAGGCGGCGGCAGCGCGGGCGGCGCCGAGCCGCTGCTGCCGCTGGCCTGCTGCTGCATCAGCCTCTGGCGCGCCTGCGGGCGCGCACGGGCCTGCGGGCGCTGGCGAAACAGGGCCGGCTCCGCCAGCCCTGACGAGACGACAAGTCTCCCAGGCTTGGCACAGGGGATGCCAGGCCTTGTTGATCTGATACCTCCCCGCCGCAAGCCCCCTCAGGACACGCCCGCCCCACGAGGAGGGGAGAGGAGGCCCAGGGCAGGGGCGCGACAAGGCCAGCACCGTGCCTGGCCCACTCGCACCACACACGGCACAGGCGACACACCACTGACGCGTGTCAGCGAGCTGAAAAGGATGCACAATGTGCTGCCTGCCGCCTCCGAGCGCAACTCTGGCGTGCCCAAGATCGGCAGAGAGCAGGCAGGGAGGAGTGACGAGGGGGGGAGGCGGCAGGACGACCAGCGGCGAGGCGCGGGGCTTCGCCTCGCGCCGCTGGGTGATATGAAGGGAGTCGATCGCCACCATGCTGGGCCCAACTTTGGCCACCCAGATAGCGAGCTCAGACAAGACCTGCATGCGAGCTTCCAAGGGCGCCCGAACCGAGCGGGGAAGACGCGAGAATTCGGAGGCCTGCTTCGCATATTCATCAGCGAGATCATTCCCCGCCTTGTGAAAGGCCGAGGCTCGGCCGCTCTCGACGGCGGCACGTGTGGCATGTCCCTTGACCTTGACCAGGTCGAAGCCCCCCACTCCTCCCCAGTCCGCAATCTTTTGCCACACCATGCGCCACAGCTCAGCCCAGGCACTCTTCGAGTTGCAAGTTTTCCCTGGGCCGCGCTCGAGCACACCGTCAACGACGAAACCTGAATCACTGTAAAAAGTTGTGCCTGGCAGCGAGAAACATAGACCCTGCAGGAACGCCCAAAGCTCGAGGGCATCGATGTCCGCAGCGGGGTGCTGAAAGGAGCCTGCAAAGATGGCCTCGGCACGAAACGAGTCCTGGGAAACCTGAACGCAGGACCAGCCGAGGCCCTGCTGGGCCAGCGACAAGAAACCGTCGCGCAAACTGCCGTCCAGAAAAACATGGCCCTGCAGAAAGCCACCCCCGAGGAGCCAGAGCCCTGGAGGCCGAGGAGCGGGGTCCAGGACGGGCATCGGCACAAGGAGCCGCTCGGCTAGCAGTCGGGGCAGCTCATCCACGCATGCCTGCGCAAGCCGGCCTGCGAACGACGGTGGCGAGGCTCCGCACGCCTCCTCCTGATACTGACATGACAGGTGGCGGTGCGACAGCGTGCCAGGAGCCTCTCGACACGCTAAACAGAAAGACTGTTCCGAGAGATTGGCGTCGTACTGGCGCTGCTGAGGCCACTGATCGCCTGAGACGACGCTGCGAAGATATGCTGCTCCCTGAGGGCTGACCTTTTTGCTGCGGGCAGCCTTCAGGACGGGATATAAAAGGGCCCCTTGGGCAAACTCTGGACACTCCAAGTGGTCAGCCACCCTTTTCCAAATCCACTCCCCCACCAACCGATCGAAGATCAACCCCAGAGTGCGAGGGGAAAGGTCGAGAGGAGAGAAGTCACCGATCATCGGGTGGTGCCACTGGAGGCCCTGCATGCTAATACCTAGCCTCAACGCAGAGGCTACACACGCACTGAAAGGGCCTCGGATGCTCTGCCATGGGGAGTTGTGTTGCGAAAGCCTACCCCAGGCTTCCTCGATCCCACTGCGAAGGATGGAGAGGGGCATCCAGGAGTCCCAGACGGCGGCGGCTAGGGCCATCAAGGGGCCCTTGCACAACTTGTAGGCAGGATCGACCTTGTCAACATCCGAGAGTTGCAGCATGAGAGAAATGGAGCGCCCGTCGACGCGGGCAGACTCGACCTGCGCCTGCTGGTGACGGGCTTCTCGCAACTCTGTGTTATTAGTGCCTAGGACCTGATGTCCGTAGGACACGGAGGACAAAATAGCAGACTGGACCATGTGGTGCAGTTGCTTACGCTTCAACAGGCGACCGAACGTGAGCAGCTTGCAGTGTCGGGCGCGCGCAGGGGGCATCCTTTCGTGCCTGACTTGGCGCGCAGCTAACCTACCTCCAGAGAAGTCGATACCTAAGTTACGCTCGGTGGAGGCTCCCTGAATCGTGAGGCGCTTTAGCCGCGCCTGGAGCTTGAGACGCAAATCCGCCGACGAGGCCACAAACTTGCTCTTGGACCGCTTAATGCAAAGGTCGACCTTAGCTAACTCGGCGTGCACAAGTTCGGCGGCGCCCGAGAGACTTTTAATTACGTGCTCCTCCCGACCACAAAGATGCAGCCCAAAGTCGTCCACCACCACCCCCATTTCAACGGTCGGGAAGGCACGACTGACGGCATCTAAGGGCTGCAGTAAAACTAGCTGCAGCATGAGCGTGGCGAAGTGACAACCTGGAATAACGGCCTGCAACGTGTGTATGAAACCCGACGCTCTGCCATCTAAATCGAGTATGCGGGGAGCTCGATAGAGCTGAATCAGCAGTTTCAGCTGGCGCAGAGGGAAGTTGGTGGCGATCGCTGCCGCCAGCAGTCTGGCATGCGAAACCTGCTCGAAGGCTTTCTCCAAATCAAGGAGAATGAGACCACTGGCGATGCCACGGCCCTGGGCCCACTCAGTCTTCGCAGACTGGATCCAAACGAGTTTGTCTGAGCCTCGTCCAGCCGTGGCCCACCAGAAATCACGGAAATTCTCGGTCTGCCAGGCGCGCACGAGAGGCCTGCGGAGACGGCCCTGAATGCGCGCAATGCAGTGAAGAAGGCCGATAGGCCTGAGGCCCCCTGTGCGCTTGAGGAGAAAACCGATCTTGCTGCACATACCTGGCCACTCGCAACGGGTCTCGATGGCCAGCACGAGCTGGATCAAAACCTGAATGGCCTCGTCAGGGAGATGATCGAACTGCCGAGGCGAAACGCAGTCGAAACCGCAGCCCGAGCGAGCAGGAAACGAGCGAAGCACCTTTCTCATCTCCCTGACGGAAGGCTCGGCGAATACAGGCCCCAAGTCCGCTGGCCACACAAGTTGCTCGTGGGGTTGATCCACCTTCCACCAGCGGCACCATTCGGCTGCAAGCGCATCCATCTCCTGCTGAGGGGATGCGGGAACGGGAAGCGAAGCCCCATCCTCATCGAAACGCTCCGTCGAGTGCCACGGAGTCCGAGGGCGGGTGAAGGCAAAAAGAGCCGCGGCCCCGTCGACCGAGTGGTCCCGCACCCACTGGCGCCAGCCAGCGCTCTTGGCATTAGTCGCCGTTTTGTGCTCTCGAACAGCTCTAGCACGGGCCCCAGTCTCAAAAACGCAAGCCAGCTCGTACGATACATCTCTGGCCGGGCCCAGTGCGCACAGCCACGGGCGCGCATCGCACAATGCAGAAGCGAAGCGCGCCTCTGCCTCCTGCAGAAGCCTGTTACACGTGTTTAGCGCGCGCTGGCGCATCTGGGGTGAGTGCCAGAAGCTCAAGCAGTGAAAAGCGTACGCTACGCGCCTCCACCAAACGGCGAGGGCACTCAATCGAGGAAAAGGTAGCCGATGGGGAGCACGTGACCGAACTTGATCAAGCTGCATGGCCGAACCACGCCCGGAGTGCGCATCAGCCTGCCGAGGGTCGATCTGGTAGATGTCGAGAAACTGCTGCTCGACCAGCCCGATGAACGACGTCCACATGCCATGCACTGGTACGTCGGAACTCGGTACAGCTTCCTGAAACCGCTGCCAGCGCTGCTGCCAATCTTGCCTTTAACATCCAGGAGGCCGAACCTGCGGGAAGCGACGCGGTGCAAGGACGCGGGACACCATAGCCACATCGCGTGGGGCTTTGAGCCGCAGCAGGACTGGCTTATGCGGCTCCGTGGCAACAGAAGGCAAGGTGCGTATCTCATGGCCGTGCTGAAGCGAATGATGAACCACGAAGTAGTCAAGACACTTACCTCCTCCAGCATTCGAACAAGTGGGGAGAGTGGGGGCAAGGATCACTGCGTCCAAGCTGTCAACCCACTCTGATCCTCTCAATATCTCTGGAACAATATTCCAATCACCTTGAATAACGAAAGGAATGTTGTACTCCTTTACCAAGTTGCGTATATTACATAGAATGGACCAGTTCGCCGCTGCCAATCCAATACTGTGATGCAGATACACGCCGATCCACAGGAAGCCGCCCGCGCACAAGCCGCCGCAGTGTAGCACCACGACCCGACCTGGCGCGAGATCTGCTGGAGTGACCTCCAGCTCGCTGAGACCATGGGCCGCCGTCATCATGGCAACCCCACCTGAAGTGCCCTTGTCAGACTTTTTCACAGCTGAGCCAACACGCGCATGCCAACCTGCGCGCCGAAGACGATGCTCAAGTGCTGTTCCGTCTAGCTGATGATGTTCCTGAGCACAGACCGCACTGGCCTGACGAACCTCGGAGTCCGCTAGGAGCTCATCCAGACCCGCCAGCCCCGTGACATTGGACGTGACGATGGTGAAGCTAAAGACTGGACCCATCGGGGGAAGCAGAACGAGCCTTCTTCGCGATCCGCTCCTTAGCCTCGTTGAGGATGCTGCTGGCCAGCTCGTGATTGATGCCGTGCTTGCTTTCCAGCTCAGTGATGAAGGAGTTATCGCCGAGCAGGTTGTCAAGCTCCATGTCGAGCGGCACGGCCTGGTCGAGCCCGCCATCGTCCGCGGCACCCCCGCCTGCAGTGCCTCCGCCATCGGCGCCGCTGGCAGCGGCGGCGCGCGCGCCAGGGGGCTGAGCAGACTCAGCGGCGGGCGCAGCATCAGGAGGAGAACCATAGCCGAGGTCGTTAGCCATGTCCTCCAACTGCCTGGTGAGCTTGTCGTACTTCTCTTTGTCGGGACCGTCCTCAGCTGGTGGGCCAGCGCCGCGGATGCCCTTCGCCCAGGCGTGGAAGGCGGCCTCGCCCTCGGATGGCTGGGCGGGCGCGAGGCTGCTGAAGGCCTTGGCGGCCTTGGCGGCCGCCTCGTCAGCAGCAGCCCGAGCAGACTCCAACTCCGCCTTGGCCTGAGCAGTGGCCTGCATGGCCTGGGCGAGCGAGTTCTGCGCCCTCTCGTACTTGGACTTGGCCTTCTCGAGCTTCTGCTGGAGGACGTCCTGCTGGATGCGCGCCTGCTTGGCGCACTCCCGCGGCTCGCCCTGCAACATGGCGCGCGCCGCGCGCACACGCCCCACCACGCGCGGATGCCAGCCATCAGAGATGGCATCGAAGTCGCGCGGCGCCATCCCTGCGAAGACCTCGATCTGGTCGTCACTGGGGTGGATGGGTCCATGGTACCGCGGACCGTTGATCGGGAGCGGCCGCTGCCATGAGCCTCGCGGCGGCGGAGGGTCGGCAACGACTGGCTTCTTAGGTGCCTGGCCGCACATGCGACACGACGTGCGCCACGCATAGTTATACTGATACCCGCACTGCTTGGAGCGAGGGCAAGACCAAAGATTCATCTGGCCCACTGGCCCAGTAAGAGGTGAATAAAGGCGAGGTAGTGCAGGCGAGAAACGCGGTGCAGTACCAGACACTGGTGCGCGAGCGGGGGCCGCAAATCCCCCACGCCAAAATGCCAAGGTCACTGAGCCACAGCTACGGACCTTGAGCCAAAATGGCTACGGACCTCCTCCTCCTCCTCCTCGTCCGCCTCCTCCTCCTCCTCCTCCTCCTCCTCCTCCTCCTCCTCCTCTTCCTCCTCCTCCATCCTCCCCCCTGCACGCCGCTGGGCGCGAGGGCCCCGTGGCACGAGCGGTCCTCGGGCGTCCGAGGTGGCGGCGCGAGAGCCAGGGGCCTCGCACTGCCGTTGGTGGCGACTCGCTGTGACACTGGGGGCGACCGGGGATTTCCGATCGAGGCGGCGACGGCGACTTGCATCGTGCGCGGCGGCGCAGCTGCGTCCACATCGGAGGGAGCCTCGTTCCTTGTGGGTCTCGTTCCCCCACTTCGACGTCGGCGGGCCTCTCTTTCTGCGGTTGGCGGTGTTTCGCTGCTGGACGTCCACTCTTGCGGAATCGGGAGCTCGAGAGGGCGGGTCTGGCGCACGCTCACATCACACAGGGTGGGCGCATCAGAACGTTTTGTTGCAGTCGTGATCTGGCTCAGAGCTGCTTGGAGGTGCCCGGGGGCGCCGCGGAACGTGCGCGGCAGTGCCAGGGGGCGCTGCGAAGTGCTATCGCGGCGCCTATAGGAGCCTCCGAGTGCGGCGTCGCTGCACCGATGCCCACGCACGGAAGCGCCCGCAGGCATCCTGGGAGGCGCCCCTGGAGCCCAGGGGTGGGGGGGAGGAGGGCCCCAACCTGAAATTCGTGTCTGCGGGTTGGGTTGGGGTGGTCTGGTAGGTCGTCAGGAGAGCGCGCGGGGAGCGCCCCAGGGGCACGCGAGAAGGCGCTAGTGGGAGCGCGTCGGCGCGCCCAGCGGCGGCCAGGAGTGCCTGGAGGCGCCTGCACTCACAGGCGACGTTTCTATCCCAGCCCCCAGCTTTTCGACGAACAGTGAGCAAGTAAGACATGGATGGGGAACCCTGGGATACACCCCCGGGGGGCTATTCGGACGCACCCCTAATTATCGAGGATGGGCGCCCCCCCTCGTATATCCCAGGATTGGGGCCCAAATTGTCGGTCCATTCGAAAACCCCACGAAGCCTGGGGTAGGGGTCGACATATCACTTGTTGTGCACGCGCCTGGGAGCACCTGCAGGATCACGCTGGAGTTAAGTCGGGCCTGTCCCTCTACAGGAGGATGTTTCAAACATAGTCAATCAAAATAGTATGGGGACGCTGTTTAACAATTTTTGAATACGCTTGGGGAAGTTTTTGGTTTTTTCGTCCCAAATCCCCCCGTAGGGGGACAGGCCCGACCGAACGCTGGAGCATCCCAGGAATTGTGGCTCGGAGCCCCCGCGAAGGCGCCTGGAGTCCTCCCATGGAGCGCCGAAGGCCGCCAGGCGGGATCCCCGCGTGAGAGGTCTTTCGAAGCGCTTCCTTGGCCCTGGGGAAACGGTCGAGTTGGATTCCGCCAGTCGGGTTTGTTTCGAGAGGGTCGGGGGCGGCCAAGAGGGGGGTCATGACCAGGGGGGTGGGTGGACATCATGGCGGGGGCCATGATATCTCCCCAGATTTCATGACGCCCCTCAATAATTACGTCCCCGGCCCCCCACCCCCACCCTGAGCCGCTCACATGCTGCCGGCCATACTTTGTCCCCCCCCCCCTCTTGGCCGCCCCCCTCTTGGCCGCTCCCGAGAAGCGGTCGAGGTGGATTCCGCCAGTCGGGTTTGTTGAGGGGACGTTCGGAGCCCGTCCTGGGCCCTGGAGGAGCAGTTAGCAGAGACGAAGGAGGCGCAGCACGCCTCCTCGCCTCGCTGCGAGGCAGGCGAGCTCAACCTAGTCCACCCCGTGGTCCGACTGGCACTTCGCCGAACACTCCGACCAACGGTCGGTAGTGCCTGGCATTAGTCAGATGAGGCGATCGCGCTCAGCAGTACGAGGGACAGGGGGCTGGATGGAGGAGTGAGCAGTGGAGGGAGAGCAGGACGATGTTAGAGAAGGATGAGTGGATGAAGAGGAGGAGCCCGGGGGAAGTGGCGCAGTTGATGGAAGAGGTTAATGACCATGGGAAGGAGATGGATGATTAGAAGAAGGGAGTTTGGGGAGGGGAGGAGCCAGGAGAGGCTTGCGAAGGATGACTCGGCAGAGGAGGAGGAGGAGGAGGAGGAGGAGGAGGAGGAGGAGGAGGAAGAGGAGGAGGAGAGGGAGGAGGGAGGAGGGAGGGAGGAGAGGAGGAGGAGGAGGAGGAGGAGGAGGAGGAGGAGGGACGGCGAGCGCAGCCGGCGGGGCGCGCCGCACACGGGACCGGGGCCCCGCCAGGCTCTCGGGCTCCTCGGGCCGCTGGGTGCACGTCGCCGCGGTCGTGCAGAACCTCGACTACGCACGGCTCCTCGGCGACGCAGCACCTCGGGCCGGACGAAAGGGGGGGATTGGGAAAGGGGGGGGTACGAAATTTGCTGCATGCAGCTGGTTTCGGCCTCGCCGAGGGGCCATTCCTCGATACAGCCGCCTCTGGCGCCGGGAGGCGCCGGGAAAATCAGCTACGTGAGCTGATTCTCACCCCCCCCCCTTTGCTATCCCCCCCTTTCGCCCGACCCGAGCACCGCGGCCGCAGTCACACAGTGCAGTTGAGGCCCGTGCCAAGAGGCGCCCTGCTTGCCTCCGAGGTGCCCTGGGCTTCTCTTGGGTTTCGATGGCTCCGCGATGGAAGGCGCGACGCTCCCACGCCAGACAGCCACGGACGCCCTGGCGTCTCGGGGTCGGGTTCCTGGCGCAAGGTCTCTTGCCGTCGGGCCCCTGCGGCAGACGCACCTGCGGCAGACGCACCGACCACGGCACCGGCCCGCCAGCCGGTGCCCCCCCCGGGAAGTGCATCGCCCCCCCGGATGGCCCCAGGGGCCCACGAGGCTGCGGGGCACCGTTGCGGGGCCCGCCGAGGTCGCACGAGCCGCGTGCGCCCGGATTCCCCGAACGGTGCCTGGACGTAGGGGCTCTGACTCGCTACAACGGTGCACCCGTTTAGTTAGCTCCTGCCGCCAGCGCGGGCGGCGACCCCTGCTCAGCCGCCGAGGCAGAAAAAGGAGGGGCTCTGCCTCGCCTTCCATGGAACTGGTCCCGTTTGCTGCCCCGGCGGCCCCGTTTCCGTCCGTCGTTGCACCATTGTTTTCCAATAGAAAGCCCGAGGGCCGCTCCAGCGGCCCCGTTCCCGCCAGTCGCCGCCACCCCGTTGCATCCTCCCCCTCCTCCCCGTCGCAGTGCAATCGCATATCACTGCCATCGCAACGCATTGCATTACAATCGCATTGCGTTGTATCTTTGCACTGCGCTACATTGCTTTGCATTGCTCTGCATTGGTCTGCATTGCATTATTTGTTTTGGCTTACATATGTTTGCATTGTCTGGCATTGCGTTACATCGCCTTGTAATGTGTTTCATTGTTTTGCCTGGCGCTGAATTGCGCTGCATTGCCTTACGTTGCCCTGCTTTGCATTGCCCTGCAGTTCTTCACATGGCTTTGTACCGAATGCATTGCACCACATGCGTTGCACCACCCAGATTGCACCACGTTGATTGCACCACATAGATTGCACCGCGGAGGTTGCCAGACATGAGTGTTTAGGGTCAAAGCCAGCCACCACATAAGCCAAAGCAGTACTCCGGACTGCACATGTGTACTGCAGGTTGCAGCGTTGCAGCGCTTCGTCAAGACTGCCATTGCGTCTTTGTACCTCGGCCCACACTCTGGGGCTCTACGTCTCGGTGCCGCCGTGCGCGCTTCCACGCGCACGTCCAGAGGTCCTCCGCGCGCAGTCTGCGCCCCTGCAGCGGACGTTGGCTACATCGGGAAGGGGCGGCGAGGAGGGGTTGGCAGGAGGAGTGTGCGCGTCGGGCGAGGGAGCGGGGGGGAGGGAGGCAGGAAGAGGAGGAGGAGGAGGAGGAGGAGGAGGAGGAGGAAGAGGAGGGGAGGTGAGGCCTCGTCGGAGGGGGGAGAGAGACTGGTGGGGGCCCTAGCGCCTGACTCTTGTTTTGCTTCTCTTTTTGCTCATATGCTCGTTCATCGAAGAGGCGGCTTCATTCTTGCCGATGCGACAGGGGAAGCCTCCGAGGGATGTTACGCACGCAGATGCAGTGTACTGCTCGCGTCTCTGTGCAGGAGCAATCCTGTGCCGCTCAGGGATGTGCACATGCAGCCCAATGATGCGCTTGTGTGTGCGGAGGGGGGGCGAGGGGGAGTGCTTGAAAGCTGGCTGGGATCTTCTCGTGATCGTCCTGCTCCCCCTCTTGGTCGTGCCTCCCACTTCGCTCACCCCTTTTCCACACGTGCTCCTCCTGCTCTTCGTGCTTCTCTGCCTCCATATGCAACCCTTCTTGCTGGACATCGTTCGCCCTCTTTGCGTTGCTGTGGCCTTTTCCGACATCCCTCCTCGAACTTCCATCTCTGCCCTCTCCTCCCGCTCTCCTCTCCATCTCCCCCCCCCTCCCCTCCTCCATCATCTCAGGGCCGGGGCTCTGGACACGTGTGCTCTGCCGCGCGCCGCGAGCCGGGCTGATCTCTGCGGACAGCACAGGTCTGGAATTGTGACGAAAACGCCGGCCTGTTTTTTCCGCGGGGCGGGGGGCCCCCCCCCCGGCCCCATTCGCCCGACGATGCCTCTCGGCAGGCCGGGGAGCCTCCGAGCCTTCTAAAAGAAGGCCTTCTCCTTCTCGTGCGGCTTCCGCCGCGTCGATGCTTCGGGCCCCGATGCAGCGCGCTCGAGCCACGGCGGCTGCGATATCGTCGTCGTCGTCGTCGTCGTCGTCGTCGTCGTCGTCGTCGTCGTCGTCGTCGTCGCCATCGCCATCGCCGTCGTCGTCGTCGTCGTCGTCGTCGTCGTCGTCGTCGTCGTCGTCGTCGTTGTCGTCGTCGTCGTCCCCGGGCTCGCTGCCGATGGTCGCTGCCGCCGTGCGAGCCGCCCGGCGTGGCAATGGTTGCACGCCCAGGCGCTCTCGCCAGGCCTCTCGGGCCTGCAGGTCCCCGCACAGGGCTCGCAAGGGGGGGCGCAGGCAGCTGGGCTTCGGGGCTCCAGTGGCCGGGGGCGGCAGAGGGGGGGGTGATGACTTGGGGGGGGGGATATCATGGCGGGGGCCATGATATTTCCCCAGGTTTTATGGCGCCTCTTCTTCTTTCATGACGTCCCTGGCCCCCCCAGGTGCCGCGCACGTGCCGCCGGTAATGATTTGCACCCCCCCTCTTGGACACCCCCCTCTTGGTCGCTCCCGAGAAGCTGGGCTTCGGGGCTGCAGTGGTGATGTTGTGCGCTGCTGCATTTTTTTTGCAGCATCGGAGCTTGGGAAGTGCGCGGCCCCAGAGGTCCCGACCCGCTCCCTGGGGCCAGTCTTCCGCGGGGTGCTGTGATGTTCTAGCCTGCTTTAGCCTTGATCGCCGGAAAGAGTTTCGCCCACCAGGAAAACACCTTCAAACTTGAGGGTTTTCACGTGTCGGGCCTTGGGAGACACTCTTTCGACACTCTTTCGACACTTTTCTGGGTGCTCGGAATTATTTCTGGGATGCGGTCCTTAGTGCGATGGGAGCAACATAAGCTTAGGGGCTCCAGTGGTGACGTTATGCGCTGCTGCAGTTTTTTGCAGCGTCGGATCTTAGTCGGCGACTACAAAGGGGATGGTTACGCTGGGGTGTGGGTTGCGATCGTGGGGGCCTGGTGGGCACGACGCTCTCCTCGTCGGGCCTCCTCTGGGCGCGGGAGAGCTCTATCCAGGTCCCCGCGCGCCCCCTTAGGGTGCCCCCCAGGATGTTCCCAGGGTGCCGGTCGCAGACCACACCCTTTGCAGACCACACCCTCTGGAGTCGCTGACTTGGGGAGTGCGCGGCCCCAGAGGTCCCGACCCGCTCCCCGGGGCCAGTCTTTCGCCGTGCCTCCGTTCATGATGGTCCGGGAGCCCGAGGGCGGCCACCGGAGGCCGAGGTCGAGGAGCAGCACCCGGAGTTGGCAAACCAGTTCGTCGGAGATATGGGCCCCATCCATCCCTCAATATCCGACGACGCGAAACGAAGCACAGATTTTGAGCTGCCACGCGAGAGGTGGTTTGGCGCGTTTCGCTTGAGACATCCTCCACTTTCTCAGCTCCGAGACGCCGCGCGCGAGGTGGCCTGGCCCGTTTCGCTTGAGACATCCTTGCAGGTGTCGGGGCGCGTTTCGCCTGAGACATCCTCGCAACTCTGCGCTCTGAGCTGCCGCGCGCAAGGTGGTCTGGCGCGTGTCGCTTGAGAAATCCTCGCAACTCTGATACGAGCTGGGAGGTTGTCTGGTGCTTTTCGCTTGAGACTTTCTCGCACCCCTCAGCTCCGAGATGCTGCGCGAGAGATTGTCCATCTCGTTTCGCTTCAGACATCCTTTTAATTTTGAGCTTTGAGAATCTGTGCGGAAAGGCTGTGTGGCCCGTTTCGCCTGATGCATCCTCGCAGTTCGGGGCTCCGAGGTGCTTCGCGCGAGGTGGCCTGGCGCGTCTCGCCTGAGACATCCTCGAAACTCTGGGCTCTGAGGGGGAGACGAAAGGAGGGAGGAGGGATCAGACCCTAACGAGTCGTTTGATTCCGCTTCTCTCCTGTCGAGTTGTGCTCTGGGAGGGGTCTGGGCGCCGCCGGAGGCATCCTCGCGACTCCGAGCTCCCAGGCGTCGCACGCGAGGTGGTCCAGCCCGTCTCGCCTGAGCCGCCCTCGCAGCTCGGGGCTCCGAGGTGCGGCACGCGAGGTGCTCCGGCCCGTCTCGCCGGAGACATCCTCGCATCTCCGGGCCCCCATTGAAGCCGGGCGCGAGGTGGTTCAGCTCTTCTCGCCTGGAGCATCCTCGCAGCTCATGGGCTCTGAGAGAGGCCGGGCCGGACGAAAGGGGGGGGTTGGGAAAGGCGGGGGTACGACATCTGCATGCTGCATGCAGCTGGTGTCAGCCCCACCGAGGGGCCCATTCCTCGATGCGTGGCCGCCTCCGGCGCCGGGAGGCGCAGGGAAAATCAGCTACGCGAACTGATTCTCACCCCCCCCCTTTGCTATATCCCCCCCTTCTTCCGGCCCGATTTTCGCCTGGAACATCCTCGTAACTCATGGCCTCTCAGAAAGTGTGCGCGAGGTGGTCTGGCGCGTCTGGCCTGAGACATCCTGGAAACTCTGGGCTCCGAGCTGCCGCGTCAGAGATGGTCTGGCCCGTTTTGCCAGAGACATGCTCGAAACTTTTTGGCTCCGAGAGAAGGGAGAGAGGAGCGAGGAGGGCTCATTTGTGTACACTTCTGTTGTCGAATCGTGCTTTGGGAGGGGTAACGACGAGGAGGAATATCCCTAGGAGTATGAGAAGGATTTCGTATTCGGACGGGGGCAAGGAATAGTGAGATGAGGAGATGCAGGAGGAGAAGGAGGAGACGCAAGAAGAGTAGAAGGAGGAGGAAGAAGAGGAGGAGGACGAGGAGGAAGAGAAGGGGGAGGAGGAGGAGGAGGAGGAGGAGGAGGAGGAGAAGGAGGAGGAGCAGGAGGAGGAGGAGGAGGACCAGGAGGATCAGGATGAGGAGATGACGAGGAGGAGGAGGAGGAGGAGGAGGAGGAGGAGGAAAACGAGCGGGATGAAGAGAGCCAGGGGATTAGCAGGAAGAAGTGTAGTGGAGGGGGGGAGGGCCAGAAGGAGAATTACATGGCAAGCGGGGGGGAGGACGACGACGACGATCGCGAAAAGCTGGACGACGGCGCCGACGGCGCAGGCAGATCAGAAGCAGGAGAGCGCGCGAACATTCCTGGGAGCCACCTTGGCTCAATAAATGCTGCTTGGGGACACTGCACTCTGGCTGTACTTGGCGTGCCCCTGGGCCCCTTCGTGGACGAGGGGGTGGAGTCGAGCAGTGGCGAAGCGTCCTGGCTCGTTGATAGCATTAAGTCAGGCGTGTCCCTCTACATGGGGAATATCCAGAAATATTAAAACATAGTCAGGGGACGATCTGTTGACCATTTTTGAGTTTTTTGGATGTATGTTTGACCATGTTCTATGTTTCGTCCAAAATCCCCCTGTAAAGGGACACGCCCGACTTAATTATAGCCCTACCAAACAATGTTCTAAGAACCTTTTGTGGTTTCCGCGAAATGTTCTTAGGACATTTCTGGCGGAGCCTGTCTTGTTTTGTCACATCGGGTTAATGTTCTAAGAGCAGTTTTTGTTATTCTAACATTTTGGGTTCTAAGAACATTTCGTGGTAGGACTATAGGAATGCTGGGACGGTCGGCCCTGCTCAATGAAGATCGGGGCACCTCTCGTGTCTTTTCTGGGGCCTGGCCCGAGAGAGGGCCTCTGGAGGAGCAGCGCCCGAACGAAAACAACAAGAAAAAAGAAGAAGCCCGGCTCGAAAACAAACAATGCGACGCCAGGATCGCAGGGGTCCTTCGGCACACGCGCCCGCCTCGCCAGCCATCCGAGAGACCCCCCCCCGAGGCTCAGGAGGAAGAGGTACTCACACACAGACGCAGGTGGTGAGCATCGAGTCCCGGGAGCGGACGGAAGCATATGAAGAGTGGACGGGGAGGCGAGCATCCAGGACACAGGGGGGCACTCCTGGGCTCCGTGCCTCTTCCTTCGTGCGCCTCTCGGCCCCATCAGGGGTGACCGCGTCGCCCTCGAGGCCTCTCGGCCCCTTCAGGGGCGACCGCGCCGCTCCCTCGGCCCCTTCGGAAGTGACCGCGTCGCTCTCGTGACCGCGCCCCCCCTCGGCCCCGTCAGAGGTGACCACGCCGCCCTCGAGGCCTTCGAGGACGCCATCACGCGGCAGGCGCGCGGCGCGCGCCCCGGGGCCGCGGGGCGGCGCGGTGCTCGGGCGGGCCACTTCGGCGCGCGGGTGCTCCCGGCTCGGCCCGCGGCCGGCGCTCGTCTCGCAGGGCTGGAGCCGACGGCACGTGTCAAGCAGTGGCGAGGCGTCCTGGCTCGCCTATAGCCCTACCGAAGAATGTGCTACGAACCTTTTGAGGTTTCCACGACATGTTCTCAGGACATTTCTGGAGGAAGTTGTTTTGGTTCAACACATCGGGCTCATGTTCTGAGAAGCTTGTTTTTGTCCTTGGAACACTTCTGGGTTCTAAGAGCATTTCGTGGTAGGACTATAGGAATGCCGGGACGGTCGGTCCCTGCTCAAACGTACACGACTGTCATTGAAAGTGGGTATTTTTGGACTCCCAGTTCCCAATCCACTTCAAGCGCCTTCCTATTTCAAGAGTCGACACGCTTTTGTTGTGTTTTGTGATTCTCTGGAGGGGCCTGGACCCAATCAACTTAATCCGCCTTCCTACTTCATGTTTCTACCTACTTCTTCCGACCGACGTGTAAGAGTAACCTTTCGCCGAAGTGACCTTTGGTGCGGGCTCATCGGGCTACCCTCGATCGCCGAGCGCGGTGCGATGTAAGCGGCTCGCGCCCTCGGGTTTGGCGCTCCCGCGCCCCCAAAAGCTGCGCCCCAAAGGTCACTCTTATCCAGGGTCACTCTTGCGCCTAGCCGATAGAGGTGTCAACACCAATTTCGGCGGTGTGCCTCCACAAATGGAAGAAGATCCCAATCTCGGCGACGGTGGTACTATTCTGGCTTCCACGGTGGTCGACTTAGTGCCACCGACACCGAGATCTGGGATCATCTCCCTCCTTGTGGAGGCACCCTCCTGTGTTGGTGTTGGTGCCCATCTCCAGGCCTCCAATTCTCGTCCTGGCGGGGGCTCGGGGCTCGGGGGACGGCCCCGCTGGAGCCGGTTTTTGTCGTAAGGTCTGGACGGCAGCGGCCGTGTTCTGCCCTCTGCCTCCCCCCCCCTCCCCCGGATCACGTCGCGCTATTCTCAGAGCGTGAATTACCTACCCCGCTTTCGCTTCCAGGCAAAGCCAAGCCATACTACGCGCCTCCTCGTCAAGCGGCCTGACCAGTACAGGCTGCAATTTGGCATCGTTTGGTATCTCTTGGAAGCGAGGGTGGTCAACAGCGAGGTAGGTTTGTTTTCCCCCCACATTCTGCCCAAGCTTGCAAAGATTGCCGACGGCTTCTTCGAGGAGTTCCTGAGATCTCCGGCGGCCCCCCGCGGTGATAGGATCGGGGGGGACGAACCCCCTGCCCTGCCCCGATCACGGATCACGCCCTGTATCGCGAAAGCTGTAAAAATTCGGCGGAAGGCAGCGGAAGCAAAACCAGCTCCTTTGGTACCGACAGGAGCCATTTCTGCCCCCCTGAGGAGAAGAAGGAGGAGGAGGAGGACGAGGAGGATGGGGAGGAGGAGGGGGAGGAGGAGGAGGAGGAGGAGGAGGAGGAGGAGGAGGAGGAGGAGGAGGATGGGGAGGAGGAGGGTGAGGAGGAGGAGGAGGAGGGGGAGGAGAAGGGGGAGGAGGAGGAGGAGGTCGCCATGGTGTGCCATGTGCCGTGTAAGAACAGGCTCGCACGGGAGCTCCCGTTAGGGGCCACCTTTTACGGGAAAGGCCACCGTGGCGCGATGCGTGCGCGCCACCTCGCGCGGGAACCACATCGCGGGCCACCACCACACAGGGGATCATTGTGTTGCGCCGTACGCGAGCCGGCGCACACGGGAGGTGCCAGTCTCTCGTTTTCCCTCATTATTCCCGCCTGTATCCTGCGCTCTCCCCGATGCCTCGACCCCGCCGCCCTGCATTGCTTTTTGGGCTTGGCTGCCACACACACGTTGATCGAACCGATCCGAGTCTCGATCGAGGATCGCGGAGGTAGAGGGGGACGTCTACGTTGGAGGTGGAGGGGAGGCGGAGGCGGAGGCAAACAAATATGGGGGAGGAGAAGGAGGAGCGGACGAGGCTGGCAGGTTCGGGAGGAGCGCGGGAGATGAGGATCAGAAGGATGCGCAGGAGGAGGATGAGGCCAGCTGGCGCGGCCTGCACGTGCAATCCGGTCGGGCTCTTGTCTCGGAGCGGTGCTCGCTGGCCCAGCTGCATTCTTCTTCGGGAGGCGTCGTCGCTCGGGCGTTGGCCACGCCCTGGACTGGCAGGGAGGGGTGGTCTCGGCTCAGCGCCAGCCGAGTGCCTGGCTGGATGTGGTGCTGCCGCTCGAGCGCTGGCCACGTCCGTGTCTGGGAATGTGACCTCGCCCGAGCGCCCGCCACGATTGCATGCTGGGGTGCGTATTGTCTCCATCTCGGACGGGGGGTCCGCGCTGTCCAGGGGGGGCTCTCCAGGCACCGTGGGAGTAACATGCAAGGGGGAGAGGAAGAGGAGTGCAGAGAGCGATACATACAGATAGAGAGAGAGGGAGCGAAACCAGACATTGAGAGCAGTATTGGTATGCACATAGATATACACACACACACACACCTAGCGAGGTACCTATATACATACATACGTTCATGTGCTCATACATACATACATACATACATACAT